TTACTGGGCCATTGGACTACAGGATGGAGTGGAAAAACGAAGTGCGCACCTGTTAGGGCTAACTGCATGACTTACGATCGTTCGACAATTTGGCCAATAGCAAGGCAATATATTTTTTAATGTTTTGATAACAGAGACTGTAATTCTAGAATCTGTATTATATAAACATTTCGGACGATTTTCACATTTGGTCCCATTGAAGATAGCTTCAAATGGGTTTGACAGAATGAAATATTGGTGTTTCGCAGTGTTGAAATTTACATTACAAATGAAATATACGCAATTAAAAGCAATAAGATGTTTAAAAACTAATATTAACCGATTACGAAAAAAAGAAAAAGTAAATAGTTTTAAAACATTTTTTAACAGTAAATAGTAAAATATCAGTATAAATAATAAAATTTAAAAGGCATCTGTTGCAATCTGGCAGCTGGTGGTTTGAGGATTCTGACTCTATTGCCAAATCTATCCGCTAACCTACCAAAGGGCAATTGCCAAAAAAATTTTCTGATAATTTATTACAACTAATATCAAACGAAACAAATATTACTTCATTAATATTTTATATAAGGTATAAAATTGCAAAATCCATAAAATAATGTGATAAAAATGTACCTTTTCAAAAGCTTTATCTCTTTGTATTTGAAGCATATAACATATACATTATAATAACATGGCAACACTGCTAACGCAATATTTCGTTCTGTGAAACTTAATTGACAGCTAATTTGAGGCTATCTTCAATGGGACCAAATGTGAAAATTTCACATTTTCACGTTCTGTGAAACTTAATTGACAGCTAATTTGAGGCTATCTTCAATGGGACCAAATGTGAAAATCGTCCAACATTTCTTTAACTAAAATTATAGATTTTGTAATCCAATATTTATACTTGTTTAAAATGTGGAGTACCTATATAGATATATTTACATAATTTTGGTTATTATATTATAACACTAATCTCAGTTGATGATAATAAAAAATTTAAGAAGGAAATTTTACATCTTTTTTTATCCATTTTATATTAATTTTGTACAGTATAATCAAAGAATATAGACGCTTATAGAAGAACAGTTCAAATGGACGATTTGGTTAGGGTTTACACTTTAAAACACATCTGGCAGTCGGCTTAAACTATCTCATAAAAGATGTAGTTAGGGGAAAGTGGGAAAGGAGTACGAACGGAGCTATTTATTTAACTTTGCATCTACGATTAAAAAAAATCCCATGCTTTATTTGTTTTTTTTTTCACAATAAAATCTTTATTTTCAATATATTAAATTGTTAAATTTTGAAATTTAAAAAGGTATGATATTTATAATATTCAAAGCATTTATTTTTTACATTTTATAACTTTGAATTAAAAATAGGTTTGTTCCAACACAACGAAAAACCGTCACATAAATTTTTATTATACTGTTTTTCTGCCCAAAAATTTGATTTTCTCAGGACTTTTCATTAAGCTTTTTAGACATGTTTCCATTATTCTGCAGAAAAAACATTGTTGTGTTTTACATTTTGTTATTTTATATTAAAAACAAAGAAGAAATTATTAAATTTAGAAAATTTGAAAATATTTAATTCCGGTGATTGATGACTTTATTGGTTGAATTAATTTTATAGTTAATAAGAAGAGAGTTCTTCTTATTAACTATAATATTATTTGTAGATTTGTTCCTATTTAAATTAAAAATTCGAATCATAATATTTTTTCTATTTAGGATTCATTTATTAAAAGTTAAAATATTATTATTTTCTTTAAAAAATATTATAAAACGCAAAAATTTAATCCTATTCTACGGCCACGCGGCATTATGTGTTCGTAGTTCTCTGGCATTAAGACAGTTTTACATTATGCTATTTTCATGCTAGGCAAGAGCCATGCAAGACAGATCATGGAACTGCGCATGCCCACGGGCTATTTCCATGCAATTCCTGTGCTAGACGAAAAATTAGAACATGTTCTATTTTTCATGCAATGTTCTTGCAATTTATCGTTAAAATTCATGTTGCCAACATAACAATTTATAATAGATTACAGAATAAAACATAACCTTATCTCTATCTTTAACCCACATGTGTATTGCTGTGTTTTGATTTAAATTAAGTTTATTAAGTGGTGATAAATAGATATACTATGTCTAAAGTTAATGTAAAAATGACTGGGTGAGTCGTTGACTATGGATGATTGTTGCTACAACAGCAATATTCAACAATAACAATGTTTTCTTTTCTTTGGTTGACATCCTTCACCCTTTTAATAACCATAAATAGTGTATATTTATTTATTATATTATTTATTTTAGTACTTAATTATATTTTTTATTTAAAATAAAATAACCTCAAATTGATAAATATTTTCTCTGTTGGCAACAATGAAAGTGGGATCTAAAATTGCACAGAAATATCTTCGATGTAAAAAGGTCAAGCTAGGCAAGAGATGTGCCATGCAAGACGGACTTGCATAGCATGAGACTTGCATAGCCTAGATGTAAAGCTGCCTTTATACATAAAAATATCTGTTGCATTTGTTGCCCCACTCTTTCATATTTTAAAAGCAATAATAGCGTTGACATGACCGCTCCCTTCTCGATCCACCCTCTCATTCTTTTTCACAACGTGCGATCATCTTTTGCAAACTTTCAAACATAACAGTGAAAGATTCTTCTATAAGCGTCTATATTCTTTGGTATAATATAAACGTAGATAAAATACCAGATAAAGCGAATCAATTATTCAATTTCTTTCAATGTAAACAAATTTTACAGTTATGACAAATGCCAAATGTCGCTGTCAATAACAATTTGAACTAATTTTGAAGATATCAGATCTACTATTTCGTTTTACCTTAGTGTTCTGTGGTAATACCATCGAGCAATAAGACAAAAGAGGGAATCTAATCCTTATGAAAAGGAGACCAAAAAAGTGGCCTCTGATGGCGGACATATCCGGAAATGCGAATGCGCGAAATTTAAATTTTCCGACACTTATCAACAGTGTAGCTATATAATATTTTTCAGAATGTGTCTTAGACGAGAAAGTTTTAATTAATTATTAATGATAAGTGTCTAAAATGCGACACAATTGTTAAAAAACTTCAATATAAGTAAGATTTCATGTGACATTTGGGATAAAAAACAATAACATAACCCAACTAAATTTGATGTCAAACAAGGAGAGAGACTCTCTTTCCTTGTTTAAAGTGGCCTCTAAAGATCGCACTTCCTGTCTAACAATATGTTTGCCCCCACTACCTTTACATTCCCTCTATTGTCTTTTTGCTCGATGGGTAATACCATTGCCTGGAATCTTATATGGACTTGGTTCATTCCCCCATCACTTTGACCCCAGCGAGTTAATAAAGAGAAATGACAGCCTATCTCTCTCACGAAGACTTTAACCAATCATAAACCAAATAAAATAATCAAACGAAGCAATGTCAATTCTGTCAATCAAATTAATGACAGATCTTCCGTTTGTTTACAAGTTTTCAATTTTATTTTATTATCTTTAGCTTTCGTTTGCATTTATTCTTAGTAATTTTAATTTAAATGTGGTTACTTAATTTTTAAAGTTTATTTTGAGTTACCTATTGTAGCAAAGAATTTTTGTGTTGTGCTAGTAACAAAACTAAACATGTTGAATTATTATATTGTTCGTTGTGTACAAATCATGGAAAAATTACAAAAAGAATGATAGTAAGTTGTCAGAAAGCAAAAAATAATAGTATTTAACTTCTGCAAATATGTGTAATAAATATTATGTAATTATTTTATAACTGTTTTATCTTAAACAACAAATAAATATACGTATATCTAGAAAAAATTGTGCATCTTATATCCTTATTTTCCAATAAATTTTAATTAGTAAGGAAATAGCCCACAAGAGGCGCTAAAGGGTATGTATGTAAGGGGTGTTCATTCGAATTTGCCGCCAAAAGATGATTAGTATTGACCCCAGCCGCAAGGGGCCTAATGAACGAAATTTATACATTGAGTTGCCTATCTATTTCTACTATTATATTATTTATCTATGGGTAATACCCAGAATAACTATTCCGCTGTCGATTTCACAATTCGGTGGTAGAACGCCCAAAAGGTTATACTTGGAATAAAGTCAAGTATAAGTTATACCCAGAATAACTATTCTCCAATTTATACCTGGAATTTAGAACCGGCCCTAATATAAGTAGAGATGGACTGGGACTGGGATAAGCAAACAGAGTATAACAGAATTTTTTGATGAAAAGTCCTATCAGTTGTCTCAGATCCCATATCTGTCTTAAATACGTGTTCTGTGCTCAGACTCAGAATACTCTGTATGTCTCCTGTCTCTGTCTTACAGCTGTCTTATTTTTTTATTTTATTTTTATTTTATTTATGTTTTATTCGGATGTTGGTGGTTGTGAGGGAATGATTGTTGTTGAGTGTTTTTTTCCTAAATGAAGCAAATGAAATTGTGTATTTAAATTACAACAAATTTTGAAATTCTAATGCAGGTTTTTTAAATTGTTAGAAATAAAAAACTACTGATAATATTGCAAATCAGCATATTTTAAATTCTACTCTAGGAATCCATTCCAGCATCACGCTTTTTTTTATTGTAAGTGAAAATATTTACTATTTTGAGAATAATAAGCGTCAGATGTATCGTATGTTTTTTATGATTTGCAGTGAATCTTTTACATTATATTATTATTTAAGATGCTCTTTTTTCAAACTTAGTTATGGATTACTCAATACTTCCCGGTTTATCTGATAAAAGATAACCAACTATAATATAACATTAGATAAACCTTTACGCTACGATTCAGAGCCGATTTTTATTACACAACAAATAAATTATTGTTTTTGAAATTAAAGAAGCTAGAACTAATTTATGGCCTTTTTAGCTTTGTTTTTAATAAAGAAAAGAATCAGAAGTATTAGATCTATAGATAACACAAATACTTTATTAATATTAGCTATAACCTTATCCTTTTATTACGTTTTTAATTTCAGCTTTAACCATGTCTTTTCAATCTGATGTATTGTCTCCTGAGGACCAAAAATTTTTATAGTAAGTATTTAGTCTCATCATTAAATTCATTATACAATAATTGTGTAAAAAACATTATATAGAATACTTTAAAATTTATGGAAATATGGCACCAAGTTGTTGCTGAAAAGGGAGCAACAAGTGGTTCCAGATGTGAGGTTTAAAATGGAAAACATTAAGAAGTTATAGCTATTAATTATATATTTTATATATTAAGTTATAGAATATTAATAATATATACATTGCCAACAAATTTTAATGCAATAAGTCAATTAGTAACTAATGATTATTTTAGTCTTGAATCTATGTTAATTTTTTTTGTAATAATGAAATGCCACCTGAAGATATCTGACAGTATTTTAGTTACACAATGTTTGTTTCATTATTTATCCTTTAAATTTTTACTACTATTGATTGTCTTTCCCTTTTGTCACTATAATTTATTTTTACATTTTACCTTTTCAGAGCTTTCATTTTCGTATATATTTACTTTATAATATATTGTAATTGCAGTTGGTAGTAAAATCATAGAATACTTTTCTATAACATTTATAAGTCTATGCAGTAGTTGGAGCTTGTCTTTTGCTGAAATTTTTTTGCAATCATGTTTTAACAATTTTAACACTTTTCCTATAATAAGAGCTTTTATATAACCAAATATTATTCTAGGATTTATAAAGTATGGTGCGGTTTTAAGTAGTTACTTTACTTTTATACCTATATGGGGCTGGCTTGTTTAGTTACACCTTTTGAAAGTTTTTTACATTGGTAAACACTTTTATATCTGTCTTTCAGTATATCTTTTTATCTAAGAAACTTTACACTACTTGCTTCTTGTAATAGATGCTTCTCATTTTGAACATTACAACTAAACCTAGCTCAGATAGCCAAGAGGGCTAGGCGGCTGGTTCTCATTCACTTCACTGCAAATGGTTCAGAGAATGTGAGTTCGAGCCCCAGCTCGGTGTACAGAAAAATAAAAAGTCTAACGCAGCAGTTTAAAATTCTAGATGAATCTGCAGCTTAGATTAAAATATGTTGGAGTCTGAACAGCCTATGGTGGAGCAGTACGACAAGAGATAAGGGCTTGCGGCTCGATGATACTCCTCCATAGATCCATACCAGAAGGGTGTGCCGCCTAAATACTGGTGTATATATATATATATATATATATATATATATATATATATATATATATATATATATTATATATATATATATATATATATATATATATATATATATATATATATACTTAAACCTAACCACCTTAACCTATTAACCTGCTATAATATTTAGACATACAAATATCTTTTTTTAGTAACTTCTAAAAATACATAATATTCCAATTAATCACAGTAGTAATTTGTGTCAGCTACATATGCATTTGTTTTTCAAAAACAGAAAAAAATTTAAGATTGAGATAAATATACATAATATTGGTTAGCACAGAATAACATTTCATCTAAATGTGTAAATGCACAGTGAATATGTTAATGATAAAATAAGTAACGACATACTCATATCAAAAAATAGAATTTGGAATTAAATCAAATCCTCATCTATGTCATCAGTGTCTGTGTCTGAGAATATATAGTTGCTATCAGGATCTTTACTTAAATTAATAATGAATCGTTCTTTGAAATGAAATCATCCTCAATAATTTTCACTTTGTTTACAATTTGTTCCACCCTTCTATGGAAAGTATTTCAAAGAACTCATCTGATCATTTTTGAATTGAATTAAAGGTGAAATCTACATTTCGTGTTTCAACATATTTTTTTAGTTTTAGTGCTGCCTAACCAAACTCTATTGGGTTTAAATCTGGATGATATGGCGGTAGCCTTAATGTGTCATGTAGTCCAGCAGGAGGCTACCTTTCTGTATGCATGGATGGGTGGATAGTTGAAAACCATTCTACCTTATGTAAAAATTTTTGCTGAATATGAATATGTAGGTCATCCATTTGAAAAAGTGGTATCCATTTTTATAAATAAATTTTCCAATTTGAATATTTTAATTTACAATTAGTCCTATTGGAAAGTATGGCTAAAAATAAATTAAAAATGTTATAATAGGTTATTAAAATTTTTAAGTCTAGAAATTGATGATTTACTCAGACTTTTAGTTCTTATAACTTTTTACATGGTCCATTTTTCTCTAAAAACTGCACAAACATAGAAAGTTTAAACCTATTTTCACATTTTAATATTGCAAAAAAATTGACGAAACTTTCTTTTTTAATGAGTTAACAAGCAATATACAAATAGGTTTTTGCCGTTCAAGAATCACAAACGTACAGTGGGCAGCTATGTGCTGTACATATTCGCCTGCATTGATATATTGAAATATATTTTAAGATTGCTACTATTTAGCTCACATAATACACATACACAAAATTAACACATTCTTGCTCACTGTATGCTTAAGAACATGATACTATGACTATAAAGATATTGCGCATGTTTTTGTGACGTCATTGGAGACTTGCACGTTCGAAATGTCAGTTTTTGTATATATCAATAAATAATCTTTAATAAATAGTTTGGAGATATCCTTATGGGTACGATTATTGTAATTATTAAAACTCATTAACTTATTTTCGTCTAGTAATTTCATCACAGAATGCATACAAATCTCATTTAACTTTAACAAGAATTCAAATTCTAGTCTCCAATGACGGCATGCGCGAACCCGACCTATTTTGAGCTACGGGAAGATCCTATCTTGTTATTCATAGTATCATGCTTAAGAATATGGAAGTGCGAAAAGCTATTTGTTTATTGCTTGTTGTTCATTGAAAAACAAAGTTTCTTCCAGTTTTTTCAATAGTAAATTGTCGAAAAAGGTTTAATCTTTCTATTTATATGCAGCTTTTAAAGAAAAATGCACCAAGTAAAAAGATATGATGACTAAAAGTTAGACCAAATCTTCGATTTCTTGTCTTTTAAACTATAAACTTTTTATATATAACATACAGTATTTTTAGTCTTACTTTATGATGACATTAGTTGTAAATTAAAATATTCAAATTTGAAAATTTATTTATAAAAAAAATGTTCATAAAAATTGGTACCACTTTTTGAGATGGGAGACCTACATATTCAGTGAAATATTTTACATCAGATAAAATAGCTTTCAACTATCCACCCTTCCATGTATACAGGAAGGTACCCTACTGCCGGACTAACGTCTGTTATTTCTAATAATGGAATCAATAGCAAAATTTTATATATTTCGGTTTATATAATTTTATAATGGCATACTGGTCTGGTTGTTAATGTTATCAGGAAAAGGAATATTTATCATATTATTTTACTCTTTGTTGATATTTATTCACATCCACATTGTTGGTGCTTTATCCTCTTGAATATCATGATAAGGTGCATTGTACATTACAATAAAACTGTTTTGTTGGGAGGTAGGTTACTTAACAATTTTTCTTCTAACCACTTTTTGTAATTGACAAAATTCATATTTATCAATCATACAATAATCAAACATTGGCCCTTGGAGATGGAACTATGGCTTGAAAGTAAATACATTTCATTAGTAAACACAATAAATCTTATTTTTTGTTTCTGAATTGTTTAAATAGTGTTAAATCCTGTAATTGTGGGTGTCTTATATCATCTTTTTCCATTAAAAGTTTTCGATTATTTGCTGTTTATTTTCATAGGAATCCGAGATTCATATTTCCCAAATTCATACTTTATTCGCCTACTTTATAATCAAATTCTTCAATAAAAGTCATATGAATTTTATTTACAGTGGGTACTTGTTTTTCAGTTATATGAAAATTAATAATCTGTATGTCTAACAGACCTTATTATTACAAGAAAACCAAATATATTTCCTGCAATATTTTTGATGCTACACAGAAATTCCCGAAAATGCAACCCAAAAATCTCAAGATGATGTATTATTATTTTTATTAGATTATTTATTAAATTATCTGTCTGTTTATTAAATTAACTAGCTACATGCTTTTGCATTTTTTTAAAGCCAATAATAAAATATCAGTGGCTGCTTCTGTTGTGTGAATTTTAACACTGAGTGTATTCACAAACTTGAACATTCAAAATCACTATTTTTAAAAATTATTAAAACTTGAGATTTTACACAAAACTTGTCAACGCCGCGGATCGCTTCTCCAGTAAAACTTTCTATAAAACAGCTCTGGTTTTAATAGTTGGTGTATGTTCACCCAGATATGAACACATTATTTTGTATTAGGTAACTATAGCATAAATCATTGTATGAAGACAGCTGATTGTTAGCCAAATCTGCCAAGTAAATCAAGCAGTTCATTTTTATTGGTGGCCAGGTATAACATTCATTTGAATTCATTATTATAGCACTTTTATAAAATATACAGCATTTGATACATTTTCTATATTTTTGATATATTAAGCACTATATCACATTCTTCGTTAAATTTATTAAACCAGATCTTATAAGCAATACTTTGCTTATTTGATTTATGCTCTTAAATATATTTTCTAGAATACCTCTAGTAGCTTTCTTCTGTCTGCTGAGATGATGTATCTTGGAAAAACAAGAAAGACAAGTAAACAAAAAATAAATAGAATATGACAAGAAAAGTGATACATAAGACTTAACTATATTAGAGAAAAAAGCTAGGAAAACAATGTGAATTAATATTACCTGATTGATCTGAGGAAATATTAAATATTGAACCAGCTGCAGCAGAGGATTTGTAGAAATGATTCAGTCTAATCAAAATGTTTATGTCAAGCTGACATGGTTTGTCTCCTTAAATTATCATTTTCTCTAAAAATTAATGTTCATTTTTATTTCAGCGAAGAAGTTGCTGGTGTACCACTTCAGTTATTTGATGATGAACCCACTATTCTGGTGAGTATTTTTTATTTTAGTATTAAAATATTAAAAATATGAGAGGGAGAAAAATAATATACCAACATAAGAAGTTGCCAAGGCAATAAAAAGGTTAAAAAACAACAAATCCCCTGGAGAACATGGTATACCCCCTGAGCTGTTCAAGTATGGAGCAAACGCCCTAAAAAATACATAATAAAACTTGTTTTATTTTGGAGTATATGCAGACTGCATCTCTGCAGACTATTACATCCATTTAGAGAGAAGGAAAACTCCCAGACAGTTGGAATGTAGGTATTATAATACCTATTCACAAGAAAGGGAATCCACTAATATGTAACAACTATCGAGACACTACCCTCCTAAATACGGCTTACAAAGTACTGGCTTATATACTTTATGATCATTTACTAGTATGTACTTAAGAAAAAATAGGCAAATACCAATGTGGATTCCGAAAAGAAACGTCAACAATTGATCAGATTTTTCTTCTCAGACAAACCTTAGAAAAGACATATGAATATGGGATTGATACCCATCACCTCTTCATAGATTTTAAAATCGCATATGACAGTGTAGACAGAAGCGCACGTTATAATGCCATGGCAGAACTAGATATTCCGTCGCATCTAATAACATTGGTAAAGGCAATTCTTTCGAAAGTTGAGTGCAAAGTCAAGGTACAATACAGAGTTTCAAACACATTCTGGATTACGCCAGGGAGACAGTCTATCGTGTCTATTGTTTAACATCGTGCTAGAAAGAGCAATTGGCCTACGCAGATGACATTGACATAGTAACACATACAAAAAGAGATCTAATACAGGCTTTTGAAATATTAGAACAAGACGCGAATACAATGGGGCTGCAGGTTAATGTATCCAAAACAAAATACATGAAGGTCACGAACAGCACACAAATAGCGGCACCACAAGATCTAATAAGCGTAGAAATTAAGAGAAAATATACCTAGCGAACAGAGCTTACTTTGGACTAAAGCAGTTCTTAACATCACACATAATTAGCAGAAAAAACCAAGATACTAATCTATGAAACTCTTATTAAACCTGTCCTGACATACGCGTCAAAGACATGGACTATGGTAAAAAGCGACGAAGAACTATTAGGCCACTTTGAAAGACGAATACTTAGACACATATACGGAGAAGTACAAGAAAGCGGGATATGGCGCAGTCGTTACAATTTTGCGATGCATCAATGTTATGAAAAATCCGACATCTTCCGGTCTATTAAAATTAATAGACTAAGGTGGCTAGGTGAAAGAATGGACACTGGAGACCCCAAAGACAGATATTATATCAAGGGCCAGTAGGAACCAGGAAAAGAGGCAGGCCAAGATCTAGATTCAAAACTCAAGTCGAAGATGACTTGAGGAATCTAGGGGTCAGAAATTGGAAAGCCAGGGCGAAAGATAGGGAGGAATGGAGACTAATTCTTGAACAGGCCAAGACCCACCCAGGGTTGTAGAGCCAAAAATGATGATGATTAAAATATTAAAGTAAATACATTTTGTTGTTTGCTAGATCATAGTATTTACGGTGTAAAACTATAACAGGAAAAATTGAAAAATATCACACTTGAGAAAATTAAGGAAGTAAATATTTGACAATAGTTCGTTTTAGACCAGTAAAATAATTGTATTAATTTGTTGAAATCAGTTTTCAGACTGTTTTAATGTTTGTACTGGCCATAATTTATAGTATGCTTGAATATTTCAGCACTTAGGATCAATATCGGAATAATTATTTGAATATTTAATGTCATGGGATTTATTATTACATTACGAATTGGCAGTAATAAATCCATACCATTAAATATTCAAATAAATATTTTGATATTCAAAATTAAAATATTACAGATAACATTCAGTTCCTCTTTATTAAAGGCAAGTCCTCTGTAGAAGTCTATGATTAAAGCATTTTTTTATAAAAGGGAAAGTAAGAGGATAATAATATTCAAACATGTAATTATTTATGTTTTTTATACATTATAAACTCATTTATTTGATAATAATGGTGAGGATGCAGTTATTCTCGCGGACTTCTGAATGAATGAATGAATAAATTCTTATTGGTCTTGAATATCTATCAAAAAGTTCATGCCACACAGGAGACACTTCTGAAATAAAGTTCCGCAACGAAAGTGTTAATCTTTTGTAGTCGTCATATACTTCCTATTTTCTTAATGATACACATTTTAAATATGTTTATTACTATGAAATATTCAAATAAATATAGTAAAAGTTGCTGTTCAACGAATTCAAATTTTTGCTTGAGTATATTAGTTTTTGTTGTTCTCTTTTTATTTATTGTTGTTCTTGAACTCCTTTTTATAAAAAAACATGTTATAATTAATTTTTAGCTGACGGATTTTCCTAAAAATGAGGACATTCTGAAAATTCCAAAACCTGTAACAACTGTTCTGTCAAATGAGGAGTATGAAGGACCTTTTAATTTTGAAGTGGACATAATTCCAAATGGGTCAAAAAATGGCTGGTTTGTAAGTATATTATTTGATAACTATTAAGTGAATCTAATATAAACATTGTATTTGATGTAAATAATATTAGTTTGTATACATCATTGAATAAATTCCTGGATTGAAATAAGTAACGCCACTAACAATCACCATATTTTATTTATAATATATTAAAGTTCAAATGTCACTCGTAAATATTTGAGTTAAATCAGTCAATTAGTTTACAAGATAGTTAAGCTGCTTTTATAATTTTCAAAACATTTGAAAACAAAAATCTGAATTTCGTTGTAAGCATTCGAGACGGAAGAGATGTCTCCACAGGGTCTTCCTCCAATTCCTCTTTAGGGAAGACCCTGTGGTTCTACTGGTGTGCTATAGTAACATAAATTCGAAAGTTTTTGTGGGAATATAAAAAAAAATCATAAAATTGTTTAGCTGATCATCAATTGAAGTCTCGTGAGATAACAATGAGGTTAAAGATATCAAAAAGTAGTTTTTTCAAGATTTTATTGATCAAAAACGTTGGTCAAAGGGTTGTTTGCAACTGTTTCAAACATGAAAAAATGAACTACTTCCCTTAGCATGTATTAAAAGTTGATCGCAACTAAGACAAAACTACATGAATTGCATTTCAAGTTGCTTCTGGACGCACTGCATTCTTCAAATTTTGCCCGCAGGAACTTCTGGTCCTTAGTTGAACTCAAAAAGGAATGCTCAATAGAAAAAGATTTTAATTATTATAAAGACAAATCTTTAGATACCACCTTAGACAACAATTTTATGATCCATAACAGAAGATAGTACTTCTCTGTTCCAGCAACAAACAATACTGGTTGTTGTTTACTATTGATAAACTTTTTATTATTTACTATAGATGAAACAATAAACTGGGATTATATGTAAAAGTGAAACATAGGAAAGAGCAAATTACTAGTATTGCTAAAACAATACAGTAAACGAAAATGGAAAATGAGTCTATGGGATTTAAAGAGACTGAAGAAATCGATGATGGAAACATGATGGCGAAACTAGCACTAAAAGAAAACACTGAATCAAACGCAAGAAAAAGAGAAAAAGAAAAAAAAACAGGAAGAAAAATATAGAGTAAAACTAGAAACCTGGAATGTTCAAACATTATTGAAATCAATGAAATGGAAGAGGTAGTAAGAGAAATGCAAAGATACATATTCGACATACAGCACTACAAGAATTAAGATGGAAGGGAGAAGGAAGAAGGAAATAGTAAAAAGAAAAGTTGCACAATATTCTGCTTGGGAGAAAACAAGATGTACAGCACTTGTGATCAACAATAAAATGTTATAGAATTCAAAGCTATAAATTGTCAAATGTCATATATAAAATAGAAAACAAACAAGCCAATATGACATTTATAAACATATATGCATCCACATAAACTAATAAAATTGATTATATGAGAGCAAGGGCATGCGGTCCATGGTTGCAAGGGAAGCATTGCATCCCCTAAAATCTAAAATTTATTTTCAGTAGTTCAAACTACATATTTCAAATTGATTAGTAATAATTCAAATGTTTAACGATAAAATATGTTTTTCAAGAAATCATTAAATTATGTTACGAATGACAATTCCTGTCAACAGAAAATAATGACGTGTATGCTTGGATGCAATTTCAGAAACCATTCTTCCCGCGCTACCATCCTTCAATTCGGTCAGCTCTCATCAATAATCGTTAAACCTCGAACTCAATTTGTATGCGTTTGGATCGACATTTTAATCATATTCGGATGCAGTATTACAATTGCTTATAGACAAGGCGACTAAAGCAGTTTGCATTGCAGTCTCGAGTATCACATTGTAATACAGAGTTTGCCGTATTTCACGTGTTTTGAATTTATATTAATTTGAGTAGTTTTTGCGAGATGAATTCAGATTTACAGCAACCGTGTACAAGTTTTCAAGCCTGCTAGGCAAACAGTAATGAACAATACTGTATTGTGTGAAATTTATTAAAATGTGTATTTTCAAAATTTAAGTTTTAAAAAAAGTGTAATGTTATACCTTTGGCAGGTCAAAACCATTACTGGAAATTTAAACCAAGTCCACGAAATGTACACATTATTTTAACAAAAATATATACGATTCCTGTAAGTGGTTGACTAGGTATAGAACTATCTCGAAATTATTTTGTTGGCCTTTATATTTAATATAAGTGAGAAAACCCAGTGGAATAGTGTGGGTTACTCAGATTTAAATAATTTGCTCACATCTATAAAGAGGCACATTTTAAGTAATACACATTTAAAAGCAGTTTTTAAAGCAGAAGCAGTAAAAGAAAAGACTTTTGGGAAAGCACGAATTAATCACATTTTAAGTAAAACGAATTTAGAAGCAGTTATAAAAGAAAAAACTTTTGGGAAAGCACGAATTGATCACGCTATAGATAATCAGCTTAAAATTACCCACCGCATGCATAATGAGCAAGTAAAAAAAAATTGTGAAATATTATAGAGACTGAGTCACATTACATGTTTCCTTGGAGAACATAAAGTTAGCTTCCGAGGGCATAATGAAAGTTATGAATATGTAAATATAGGAAATTTTGTGGATTTAGGAATTTAGGATTTTTTATCTGAATATGATGAACTATTATAAAATAATTTGATTTGATGAAATCTGTGGTAAATATTGTTCTGCAAAAAATCAAAGAAGAAATAAAAAAAGCACAATTTATTTCCATTGTTCTAGGTGAAACTACAGATATCTTCAATTTGAGCCAACCGTTGGTTGTTCTGCGTTACATAAAAAATGATTGGGAAAGACAAGAACGGATTTGCATACTATATATATATATATATATATATATATATATATATATATATATATTATATATATATATATATATATATATATATAATGGCTATACACCCCAGCGTGGGGTTAAACCGCAAATGCTTTCTAGATCCTATTTCTTAAGTGGATCAGTCTTTTTTTTTGTTTATCTTATCTTCTTGACAATATCTCTCCATTTTTTCCTGTCTCTAGTTTTTCCTCTCCATTCACTGACTCCTGCCCTTTGGAGGTCTTCTTCAACTTCTTGCAGCCACTTTGATCTCGGTCTTCCCCTTCTCTTTCTTCCTCCTGGATTCCATTCTATCATTGCGTATGTCACTGCCTCATCGCCTGCTCGCCAAATGTGACCTAACCATCTAACTCTGCATTGCTTTATTTTAGTTACGATGTCTTCCTTAAGTTCTTCCTTAATTTCTGCATTTGTTCTGCTTCTATATTCATTTTGCTCTGTTCTGATTGGTCCTAGTATGGTTCTCATAATCTTTCTCTCTGCAATTCTTAAGTCTTCTTCATCTTTTTTAACCATCGTCATTGTTTCCCCTGCATATAATAATATTGGTCTAATTATGGTGTTATAAATGCTCATCTTGCTTTTTTTAGTCAGTGTTTTGCTTTTAAGTAATCTTTTGTTTGCAAAATAAGCTTTATTCGCTGCTAATATTTTTTCTTTTATTTCGGATTTCCTTTCTCCGGATTTACTTATTGTAACTCCTAGGTATTTGAAGTATTCTACTTCTTCAAACTCGGAACTTCCTATTTTGATCTTTTCCTTTATTGGTTTTTTCCCTAATCTTAATATTTTTGTCTTTTCTTGATTTAATCTTAGCCCCATTACCTCCCCTTTCTCTCTTATTTCTTCAAGCATTTCTTTCATTATTTTTCTGTTCTTTGCAATAATAGCAATATCATCTGCATATGCAATTATTTGACCACCTCTTGTTCTGAGATTTCCTTTATTTATATTTCGCAGTACATATTCTAATGCTAGATTAAATAGCGTTGTTGATAAGGCATCTCCTTGTTTCATCCCTTTATTTATACTGAATTCCTCTGTCTCTCCTCTTTGTGTCTTTATGCTTATTTTTGTAGTTCTCATTGTCATTTCTATTAATTTTCTGAGTTTATGTGGAATTTTTAATTTTTTAAGTGCTGTCATTAATACGTTCCTTTTAATAGAATCAAATGCCTGTTTGAAGTCTATGAATAACATTTCCAGTTCTAATTTATACTCGTTTGCTTTTTCCATTATTTGTTTTATTGTGTGTATTGCATCTATTGTAGATCTTCCTTCTGTGAATCCACATTGGTACTGTCCTACTGTCTTCTTTGTGATCTTTGATAACCTCTTTTTTATTATTGATGTCAATATTTTATATGTTGTATTTAGTAATGTTATTCCTCTATAATTTTCACAGATTTGTTGGTCTCCCTTTTTATGTACTGTTATGATCTGTCCTACCTCCCAGTCACCTGGCATTTTCTCTTCTTTCCATATATTTTTCAATAGTGCCAGTATTTTTCCTCTTAGTTCCCTTCCCCCGTATTTTATTAGTTCCATATTAATTCCATCTTTACCTGGGGCTTTTCCATTTTTGCTTCTCTGTATAACTTCATCCAATTCCTCTAATGTTGGTTCTTTTGAAATTTCGATGTCTACTTCATTTGCTTCTTCTTCGTGTACTGTTTCCTCCTCGTCATGCATTTCTTCTTCTGTTGCTTCCTCCGTCAAGAGCTCTCTGTAGTAATCTCTCCATACTTGCTTGTATTCTTGGTCCTCTATTATCACTATTCCCTCTCTATTTTTTATTCCGTTTGTTTTGCCCTTGTATTTTTTGTTTCGTTCTTTAATCTTTTTGTAAAAACTTTTCGTATTTCTGTTTGTTCTTTCCTGCTTGATTTCCTGCATTTTTTTGTCTACCCATCTTCTTTTATTTTGCCTTATCACTTTCTTAGCATCCCTTCTTAATTTTTCATATACTTCTCTGTCTTCCTCTTTATCTGTTCTTAGCCATTTATTTCTGGCTTGCACTTTTTTTCCTGCTATTTCTCTACATTCTTGGTTATACCATTCGTTTTTTGTTTTAGCCTGACTTTTACCTATCTGCATATTTGCACCTTCTTCTATTGATTTTTTGATCGTCTCCCATTCTGTGCTTATATCTTCTGCTTTATATTTCTCTTTTATTTGAACTGTTACTGCCTCTTCATATTTTTTTCTTACTTCTTCATTACTCAATTTATTGACATTCCACTTTTTATGTTGGTTTTTTTGTTTTGTTTCAATTTTAACTTTTTGTCTTATAATGGCTGTGACCATGTAGTGGTCTGAATCTGCACACGCACCTCTGAACGTTCTTACATCTTTTATTGTCGATTGTGTTCGCTTATTAATCATTATGTGGTCAATTTGACTATATGTTTTCTGATCCGGTGACCTCCATGTTACCTTATGTATTTTAGGGTGTTCAAATTTTGTCGAGCTTATTAACAAATTTGCTCTTGTTGCTAGGTTACATAGTCTTTGCCCATTGTCATTCGTGTTTTCGTGTATTGTATGCTTTCCTGCAATTTGCTGTAAAAAGTCCTCTTTTCCAATCTGGGCGTTGAGGTCTCCCAGTACAAATATGACATCTTCTTTGCGTATTTTTTCTATCTCCTCTTCGACCTTATCATAAAAGATTTCTTTTTCGTCTGCATTGCTTGTTTCTGTGGGGGCGTATAAATTCAAGATTGATATATTAAATGGTTTGCTGTTGACTCTAACATAGGCCATCCTTTCGCATATTGGCTTGAAATTTATAATTTTCTCTCTTAGGTGACTAAGTATCATGAATCCCACGCCTTTTTGCCCTTGCTTCTTTCCTCCTGAATATAACATGTTTACTTATCTTGTTTATCAATCTGTCCCTGTCCCTCCCAGCGTAATTCTTGCAGTGCTGCAATATCTATTTTATACTTTTTGAGTTCCTTTCCTATTTCTAGCATTTTTCCTGGAGTTAGCATAGTTCTTATGTTCCATGTGCTTATTTTCAACTCTTTATTTTTTTTGTTCTGTTGTCTTCGTCCTTTATTTTTGTTTTCTTGTCCATTTTTCTTTATTTCACTTTTGTTGTGCCCGGGTTTATCTGCAGTTATTTCCTGTTTCTTTGATTTGATTGATGAGTTGATTTTACAAATCAACTACATAATTCAGATTTAACGCAATTACTCCAGGCAACGAAAGAAAATCAGACAAAAACATCAATACTTGTGAATTTTGGTATCAAATGCCTTTAATAAAGTTAATAGTTAACGAAATATTAAATAAAATAAATATATCAGTAGGATAGTTATTAGTAGGATTTGACAAAATAACAGAATAATTGGATTTTACAAAAAACATTTTGTATTAAATTAAAACGTAAAGTCATATTTCAAATTTTTATAAACCAAGTTAAGAAATAGTTAAACTAAATAACATTATACTTTTTGTCAAAGTAAGTGTTCAATGTGTCCACCATTTTCTTTAATTTATTTGTCAATACATTCCATAAAAGATCGTCTCATATTAAATAGCATCATTTGTTCTAAACTACTGCAGTATTTATAATAAGTATTATAAATACTGTACTGTACTACACTAAAAATAAATATAATATAATAATAAAGTATTCGTTTGGGATTTTTATGAATTAAATAATTATATTAATATCTCACCACATGACCAAGGAATATGACTACCACGAACAATCCAACGTTCAGGAAAGTTCTATTTGCATGTTCTCACTGTCCTCTCTCTATAATGTGGTGGTATACAATCTTGCATAAACCAAGTATTTTACCTTAAGTTTGATGACAATTCTTCCAACAACTCAATAAAATCATTTTGTAAAAAATGCAAATAAATCTCACCATTCAAATTACAAGGTAATTCGCATGCCCGTAAAAAATAATTACCTTAAAATGGTACCAAACCATACGATATGCATTTTAAATGAATTGAATCATTTTATTGATTTGTTGGAAGAATTGTTAAACTTAAGGCGAAATATGTGGTTTATGCAAGATGGTACACCACCACATTATAGAGAGAGGGCAGTGAGAACATACTTAAATACAACTTTCCTGAACGTTTGATTGTTCGTGGTCGTCATATTCCTTGGTCATGTGGTGAGATATTAATATAATTACTTAATGAATAAAAATCCCAAAAGAATACTTATTATTATACTTATAATAAACTGCAACAGTTTCTTTAGAACCAATGATGCTATTTAATATGAGACGTTATTTTATGGAATATATTGACAAATGAATTAAACAACTTACTTTAATAAAAAGTTTTAACTATTTCTTAATTTGATTTGTAAATAAAATATTTTAATTATGACTTTAATTTAGTACAAAACGTAAAATGTTTGATGTAAAATCCAAGTATTCTGTTATTTTGTCAAATCCTACTATTAACTATCCAGCTGATATATTTATTTTATTTAATATTTCGTTAACTATTAACTTTATTAAAGGCATTTGATACCAAAATTCACAAGTATTGATGTTTTTGTCTAATCTTCTTTCGTTGTCTGGAATAATTGCGTTAAATCTGAATTATGTAGTTGATTTGTAAAATGCGATTGACTCGAACGCGATTGAGTTTTGAAGTTATTGACAAGTACATATACCTTTTTTTGTTAAAATAATGTATCTTTAATATTTTTTATTACAAACGCCGGTAACTTAAAGAGCAAAAAAGTTAAGTGCAAATGTATGCCACATATGTGGTATATGTGGCGCCCTCTATCAGCTACATTAAAGTATGCATCAAATTATAATTCCTGATGTTCAATAGTACCCAGTTATGAATTTTTATACATAAATGTTCACAAACATGAAAGTTATAGCGAAAATTAAAATTTTAAATTTTCACTTTAACACCCTGTACCTTTTTTAATATCAACATTTTATTAAAGCAATTTGGCTAAATCGTAATATTTTAAAGTGTAAAATCTACGTTTTTTTTTGTACAATTACTTAAGGACCAACATGTATATTATAATGTTTGTAATTTAGTTGAGGAACTGTACTGTGGCTCCAAAATTTTCTCTCAAAGTTATGATGGAGCTGCCGTAATGGTTGGACACAAAGGTCTTTGTTTTAATAAAAACTAAAAGCTAAAATCAACATGAACCAAAAAATGAACACCCAATACAAAACAAGAGTTAAAATCAAAATTAAATTAAATTATGCCAGCAACTATAAGTGTAATTAAGTAAGAAAGTTGATACTACATATAAAGTGTTAATGTAATGAGAACGGTAAATTTAATTTATAAGAAAATTGACACAATATAAAATATATTGAGATATCAGTGGCATTCGTTATAACCAGTCTGATGGAAACTGTACACTATAGTTAGCCATAAGTTGTTTATTTGATGTAGGGTAGGTAGAATTTAGATTTAAATTAAAAGTTCAAAGTTAGACAAATTATATGAAAGGGTTACAACTTGCATATCAGACACTTCTCTTCTAGGATGTATAATAGTGTAGCTCACTACTTTGTATAAGCCATATGTAGTAGGAAGTTATTGTCTTCTCTTATGAAAATTATGAATTTGATTAAGTTATTTTCTATTATATATCTTATTATGTTGTAGTTGCCCTTGTCAAATTTTTATTGGAGTAAAAAACTTTTTTAAATTCTTAAAATATATATTACGATTACGATATAACGATAACTGAAGAATTTGTACATTATTAGCACAGGCGAGAGCATAAAGTAACATGACTGCTATCTGGCGCAACAGATGGCAATCAGATAGATCACATACTAATATCCAAAAAATAGAAAACAATAATTCATGTCGTCAGATCATATAGAGGAGCAAACGCGAACACAGACCATTTTCTAGTAATATGAGAAATAAAAATGAATATGGAAAGATGAAGGGGTGCTAGAACAGAGGGAAATAAAAATAAGGGAATAATAGCTCAATACAGAATATAAAATCAAAATCAAACAAAAAACCAAGCAAAAAATAAATGGATATCGGCTAAAGAATATAATCGAAATAAGTACAAAGAAAAAAGAACTTAGGAGACCAATGTTGCAAAAACAAAAAAAAAACTAGGAATGGAAGAGTTATTAAAGAACCTAGAAGAGCATAGTAACGACAGCACTAAACTATTTTGATACTTGAAAGCTCATTAAATAAAATGTAGATCAGTGGTTAAAATTGGCAATCAATCATGATAAACACACTTCACACAACTATATAGATGCAAATTAATTTGTGAATATTTAAACTTACAATCTTAAATACTGTTGGTTAACTTTAACTGTAATTAAACATTTTCAGTATTCTCTATTATACACAAAAATATCAAGAGCCGAGACAAGATACTATTTGGAACTTTTTGTCACGACCGATCTCCCTCTTCAATATTATATATCATAAGATATATCATAAAAATGTGTATGTACATATGTGCTAAATAGGTAAAAATGATTACGCTTTCATAGGAGTGTTCATCTTGTATTGATTGCACTAATATGCTATTTGTATCTTATTATTTGTCTAGACATCCTATATACATATTTCATTTGTTCATATATAATTTGTTGTAGTTTTCTCCAACCTTAAATAAAGTATATATGGATATCAAGGCTCCGTTTCCAATAGACTTTAAGGTTAAGCAGAGACCACTACATCCATTGTTCATCAGGGTTACACCAATGTACAGTTCACCTCAGTTTGCTCAAGAGTGTGTTTCTAGATGTGTTAACCATGAATATGCTGAAGCAACCACAAGTCCACGTGAGTACTTAAATAAGTAATTATGTATTATATGAAATATATTGACAAACAGTTTGATACAATAAAAATAATCATTGAATATGTTGAGCCATGAGCTTGAACATGAGTTAGACAAAAAACAAAATCCATATCAGTCATTATTGTTTGAAGTAAATAGACAGGGTAGCTAGAATTTTACCATAATATTCATAATTTGAAACTCTATTTCCGATATATCTGTTAAACATATTTATGCAATTTTTACCGTATTTTATTATATGATATTGATTACGAATTTGATTTAATGAACGAATTTGATTATAAAATATTGGTCTGTATCCTTTCACACTTAGACATGTTTTGTCATTATTGTGACTCATCAGGCAGTGCCAGATAGTAGATAGGTAGATCCGGCGAGAGAAAAGTATGATTCTACGAAGCCCTGTGTTTTTAACGAAAGTCAGCAGCTTCATGACTGAGAGTTTAAGGATTCCCTACGGTTCAATTTTTGGTCAGCGCCGATGTATATTCGTATATTCGCATCAGATCATTAGGCGAATTAACTACGCAAAAAATGTCTGTGGCAGTTTCTTCTTCAGTGCGCAGTTTTTGCATCATAGTCTTTCATTCAAAGCTTTATCATTTCTCGAGACATTGGATGCATCCTTTAAGGACACGACGGGTTTTTCTTGAAATCGGTTCGTTGTCTATCCAAGATTTCTCTTGGTCCAAGGTCCATCTTCAACCTCTTGTTATCAGAGTCTTTTTTTTCTTGAAAGAAAAGCTCTAGAGTCTTGAAACTTGGTGCAAAGATTCCTTTCGGAGTGGGGAAGAAACTATTAGTGGGTCCAATTGCTCAAAGATCACAGCAGTTACAGATAACCCCAGATATAGTCTTGAAATTTGGTGTAGAGTAGAGTAGTCTATTTATTTAACTACATATCAGATACAAATATTGTTTGTAGCCAGTAAAAAAAATACATAGTATTAAAAAAGGAATATAAAACGTAACTTAAATATATACAAACAAGAAGACGTATTAAACAGAAAAACATTTATGACAAAGTTACGGTAAGCAGTTCAGTGGATGTTCTGCAATGAGTCGTATATTCTTCTGAGCAGTGAAAACAATGTTTTATAAGATATTTTTTATAACTTTATCGAAACTATTACAGCTTAGCTGTTTAGCTAATACTTTTTGCTAAAATCTTGTACAAGTTATAATTAAGACAATTTTTTTCTGAAAGACTTAATCTACAGCGATTTGTTTGCATGTAGTGACAGTTTCGCGTATTGTGGACATGGACTTCTTTATTAAATTGACACGTTTTCTGCATATTTCAGTTAGAACTTAAAATATCAACAGTGTAGGTAGCGGCATACTTTTGAATTTGATAAAGAAAAGTCGGCAGTGTTGAAGTAGAATAAGAACGTGTGATAATAATAATAATGTGTGTGAGTAATAATGTATGTAATAATAATGTGTGAAGTAGATAACTAACCCCTGCTAAAATCCTGACAGTTTTCTCTTGCACTCTAACATTTGAAGTGCATTTGTTGGATTGCCCCATATAATTACATCATAGTTTAGGTGAGAGTGGAATAAAGAAAAATATCTCATTTTCAATGTTTCAAAGTTGACAACCCTTAAGTTAAGATAGTTTTAGTTTATTTGCAGCAAACCATAAGCTAGATTTTGTAAAAACTTTATTTTTTACGTATGTAAAAAATCATGTGCCAATTGTATGGTTTTGTAAGGAGATATGAATTTAGAGTAATCGTTGACATAAATAATAAACAAAAGAGGTCCTAAGACCGAACCTTGAGGGACTCCGTGTTCTACGGATAGAAAATCGGAGAGATGACCTTTAAACACTACCGCCTGGTGTCTGCCACATAGATAAGATGTTATAAGCTTAAGAGAGTTAACTCTAATTCCTTAGTAATTTAATTTGTGGAGCAAAATGTCCTGTGAAAGGGAATCAAAAACCTTCGACAAGTCGCAAAGAGAAATTATAATATAGGAATAAAATTGGAATTGGAACAAAATAGGAATAAAATGGTTGTTTGATAATCTTTTCAATAACTTCCCTAAAAGTAGAAACAATGCTTATGGATCTGTAATTGTCAGTTTTTGAGGAATCATCGTTGTAGGTTGGTAGTACTTTTAAGTATTTTAGTTCTTCTAGAAATACTCCAGTTGATAGAATTAAATTAATAAGATGAGTGAAAGATGCTAAAACTATTTGGTAAGTTTCTTTTAAAATTTTGCTATTAATTTCGTGAACGTCCCTACAATTAGAATTACTTCTTATTCTTTTGGTGCCTATCCTCTGTGGATGCTGGCAATCACGTTGGTTCATACAACTTTGTTGACAGCTGCTACAAGAGAAATTAACTAATGAAAAGCCGGAGATGCTAATTAATTTTAAATTATCTACACTTTGCCAGTGCTCCGAAAAACATACGACGTCCTATAATTTTTGATCCACAAGAAAAGTATTGATCATTATCGACCGTACCTTGTCGAACGGCAGCTCCTTTGGGCCAAATATTAAGACTGTAGACTTCGTAAATTTTATCGAAAGGGAAAGATACCTTATGAAAGTTCTGTAGGACACAAATGCGCGGTTTTTTAAATTTGGGATCAAAAGATGTAATCATTCCACTCTCCAGACATGTAAATTGTTAGTTTCTGTATGTCATAACAATTTGGTTCGCGCTTAATTCGTTGTCAGGTCCATCGACTATACGTTTTAACGGTTTATTTATTCATCTATTTCGTTACAGTATTTATGGTTAAAGCCAACGAGAGAATAATAACGGCACCTAATAAAATATTAAAATAAAAGAGTATGTGTGTATTTTTTATTTCAGTGAATAGTACAGTTTCCTTTCCTAACCTATCACAAATATTGTAATTGAAATCGTTCAACTCCTTTCAGATATAATGGCACATATCAGACCACACATTATAAGATGTCAAAATCAATCGGCTTTTTATATTGGAGATAAAACCAATAACGAACGCTTGAGCATAATCATTCCACTCTCGTTTCCACAAATGGGAACTAACAGTATTCGAGAAATGTTCGAATTTACTTGCAAGAATTCTTGTCCTGTTCCTGGCATGAATCGAAGATCTATTGAAGTCATATTTACTTTGGAAGATAGTGAGTAAGTATATCAAACATTTTCTAATTTATAAGATAAAAGGTTATAAGAAGATATAGTAGGTAAGTTGTTGACCTCTATTTAGATATCATTGTTATAAAAAAAACACATTCATCAGGTGGAGCGTTTAAAATAAGCTTCGTAAACTGTATTCTCGATAATTCTGCAGTGACGAAATTTTCTGCGTCCCATTACATAGTTTTAGTTGACATTCCATTCGTCGACAGGAATGCAGCCATTACCGATAGCCAGCAATTGCTTTCCTTGGTGTTGTTTGTCTTTCTTGTTTCTCGTCAGTTAGTTCTATTAGCTCATCGTGTACTTCCTTCTACTGTTGGCTCAATATTGGTACATTCGTTAGAACTAAATGGTTCAATGCATATAGATCATGTTCACTTTTACCTTCCAATTCTTGATTAAAACTAGTTCAATTCACGATTTGGTCATGGCATTACTAAGTTGACTAGTAAACTGCTGTACATGACGTAATAAATGCCTTCGATCAAAATCAAAGCTTGGTTATGTATCTCTTCATTCATCTTTAGATTGGGATTTCTTGAACTGACACGAATTCAATGTAAATTGCTATCATGCTGACATGTCATGCATGTAATTGTTCCACAGTCCACGTGGATTCAAAGAGATACATAATAATCGCAAACAATGAGCGTATCTGATTTGGAGATGCACAAAGAATTCAGCAATTGTAATGTCCCAATGATTATCGTTTTTAAGCAAATTGCGCTCTGACATACAGTACTAAATGATGGGCACACTACACCTTTAACCTCTTCGCCTTGCTTTCTACATTGAAATTTTTTTGACAAATAATTTAAAGTCTAATAACTAATTCCAAATGGGATCTTAGAGTAGTTCGTGCAATTGGTTTGCTTAGACAACGACGAAATTAATAAACTCGTTGACTGCCTCCAGGTGCATGCCCAAATGTACAACAGTGGAATTTTGTATTTGCTATGTTGTATGATGAGGTACAAATCGAATCATTGTAGCTCACATATCGACCAACTTGATGCGTGATTTCATCATTGGTATCGTGATTTTGAACGCCAAAAACCGCCACCTTTTGTGATATATTTGCAGATGTATTTGATGGATTTCACTGAATTGCAAAATTCCACGTTACAGTGAGTCTGAAAATCCAAGTGTTGTCGACCACACAATCGTTTGCTTTCACTTTCGTTGTGATAGTTCTACCGTTATCATATGGTGATCGAAGCTGATACAGTGGTTAACCATGGTTGGCATTGATAAAAACTATTAATAAAGCATTTAACATTCAACCATCATTTGAAAAAAACATTATCATCATTTATTGGTTATCGATTTAGCGTCTTCTAAACATCAACCAATTATACATCCATAAATAGAAGTCGCTTTAATATGCAACTATCTGTCAACGCTACATAATGTTCTAAATTATATGTATAATAATCACGGAAGTACCTGTTTTTCTGTCGCTTTTAACTTAATGCGTTAGAGAGAATTCGATAAATTATGACGCACTGGAAGAATAGTTTGGTTTGAACTGTAATCATCGACCTATAGCGCTAGCCGTTGACGGTGATGGTCTGGCGTACGTAGTTCTTAAAGAAATATGAACCGATGACTCCGCCAGCTCAAAATCTAAACCAATGACTTTTTCGGCATGCATTTTACGTTCTTGGATCTCATCTGGATTTGTATCGTCTTAATCGAGTTTCTTGACATACCCATCATAGAGACCATAAACAGTAAATATTTAAAACTCACATATAAAAAGAAAGGTTCCAATGACACGGCTCACAATAATAAAGTAGTTACCAATCCCAAAAAATGGACATTAGCAACATGGAATGCCAGAGATCTTAACGGCAATGAAGTTAAACTTGCTGAAGAATTTGAGAAAAATTAAATAGACGTACTAGGTATAACAGAGACCAAAAACGAGGGAAAAAGCACACAGTTGTTAGAGAATGGGCTTCTCATTACTTCTCATTACAAGTGGAGTGTCACAAAGCGAACGAGCAAAAGAAGGAGTAGGCTGTCTAATAAACAGTAAACTAATAAAGTATTGGTAAGACTGGTAACTGCTAAACATAAATTAGTTAATATTATCGTCAGACTACCGAAATAAGCAGACGTGTAAAAATGGGATGGGCAGCGTTCGGAAGACTCTCATATGTACTTAAAAATAAAAATATACCACAAAGACTGCGAACCAAAGTATTCAATTCCTGTATCCTATCTGTGCTTACATATGGAACTCAAACCTGGACATTCACTAAAATAAACATGGAGAAGATCAGAAAAACTCGGAACGACAGATGCTGTGTATCTCACTCAAAGACCATAAAACCAATGAAGACATTCGTAGTAGAACAAAAGTAAAAGATGCTGTCGAACAGGCAGCTAAACTGAAATGGAAATGGGCTGGACATAACGAACGTCTTATGGATGGCCGATGGAATAAAGAAATCGCGAATTAGCGGCCATATGAAGCCAAAAGACCACGAGGAAGACCGTAAATGCGATGGTGGAGAGACGATATTAAAAAAACTGCAGGACCAATGTGGAAACGTCTTACAAACAACAGGGATGAATGGTGAGAATTAGGAGAGGCCTGTATTCGGCAATCCGAATAGAGAAAAAGGCTTAAAAAAATAGTTAGGTATGGAATAAATGATGACGAAAATGCAGACTTATTCTGGGATAAGGCATCAGAGATATTAGAAAGCAACACTATAGTATTAGGGGATCTAAATGGTCGAGTGAGTATAAGAGATAAACATACCCCAGATGTATTAGAACTATATGGAGAAGAAAGAAAAAACGACAATGGAGAACGTATTATTGATACATGCAGAGAAAATAATTTAATAATAATGAATACATTTTTTCAACACAAAGATGCATACAAATACCCAAGAGAAATCAAAAGCAGAAGAGAAAGACTATGTGTTAGTGGGCACACCATCAAGGCAATGTATTAAAAACGTAAAAGTAAAATAAGGAGCTGAGATAAATATTGGCCACTATCTAGTTGTAGCTAGGGACTAGCTGGGTAGTGCGATGAGAACCAATAACGAACGATACAAAGGAAAGAACCTATTAGAGAACCTATAAGAAAGTATTATGAGGTAAACCTCAATACCCCTAGATTAGAAGTAATCAAGTCATATAAGCTAGCAGACAAGAAGATAGCAAAGAAGTTCGAAAAACGGGACTATGACTTAGATCAAGTTTGACAGAAACTTAAAGAAGCACTACTAAACGGTGGTAAACAAATATGCGGAATAACAAGAAATAACAGAGGTAAGACGTGTACAAACTGGTGGAACAATGAAATAAAGGCATAAGTAAAGACCAAGAAGATAGCTTGGAATAATTATCTAAGTAGCGAAACCACAGAAAACTAGCAAAAATACAAACAGCATAGAACCAAAGTAAAAAAAAAATGATAATAGCAGCGAAACGGAAAAGTTAGAAAGAATTTGGAAATAAGAAGGAAAAGACTACCACACTAACCAAAAGTTATTCTTCAAAACCTTGAAGAATCTAAGAACCGAAAAGTTCCCACAAACACCAAAGCGGATAAGAGAAAAAGCGAGGGACACCTACTGCAAGACACTTATCACATCTTAGATAGATGGAAACAATATTTCGAGGATCTACTGAACACTCAAAATGATGTAGACGGTGACAAATGATGTGTACAATGAATGTAGACAGCAACCAAAAAAACCAATAGAGGTAGAACAAGAAGCAAGAAGACCAAAATCTAGGCGAAATAACTACAGCAAAAATAAAAGAAATTATACAAAAACTTAAGAAAGCTAAGGCGACTGAATTTGATAAAATCACAGCGGAAATGCTACGAAACATGGGCGACAAGGGCATTGAATTGCTAACAAAAGTTTGCAATAAGGTATAGAGTGAGAGCAAAATACCAAAAGATTTAGAAGTGGGAATTATTCTACCCATCTTCAAAAAGGGAGAGAGGCGGGAATGTAGTAACTACAGTGGTATAACATTCCCATCCAAAGTATAGGAGAGAATATTAGAGAAATTTACAAGAAGTTGATTCTAAAATGGAACAATCACAGAGTGGATTCAGAAAAGGTAGAAGCATCCGAGACCACATTTTTATTATCAATAAATTATTACAAAATGTACAGAACTCTAGCATTGAGCTATATCAAGCCTTTATTGGCTTAGAAAAAGCATTTGACAGTACTCCAAGAAAGGTGATAGACATATGTTTAAAAAAGAAAGGTGTAAATTCCAAACTCAGGGAAGCCATTATGAGTGTATACACACATCCAAAGAACAGGGTCAGAACTGATAAATTGGAATCCGAAGAGTTTACAGTAAATGAGTATTTACATCAAGGGGGAGTCCTCGATCCCATACTATTTAACATCGTCTTGGATGACATAATTAAAGAAACCAGAATAAATACACTGAAATTATATACCAGACATGATATCTAGAAGGGTATAGATCTCAGGTGCGCATACGCAGACGATCTTGTGATGTTTGGAATAAACGAAGAAACGCTAAATCGAAATTTACAACTATGGAACGCTGCACTAATGAAACAAACTTTAAGGATTAATGAAGAGAAAACGAAAGCAATGGTATGCGGAACAAATAGAAAACAAACGAAGATAAAAATTAACGGAAATTCACTCGAACAATTCGAACCCTATAATACTTGAAGTGCAAATAGAGAACAGAGGAACTGAAGAAACCGGCGGACGAACTTTCGACACCAAATTGTCTTTGTACCTGGGTAATCGAAGGGTCAAATTTTATTATAGGAAATTTCGACACCGCGGTGTAAAGCAGGTAGGTAGGTAATTAGCGGCGATGGACACTTGTGTACTTGTGACTAAATTATTTCAGTTGTAATTTATTTCTTGTTTGACGTTGACTTGTGCACGTATACTTATATTTAAAAAATGAGTTTGATAAAAAGTTCCCGTGGTCGAGATTTATTAGTGGTGGAGCATCATTCGTTCTCGAAACAAAAAGTGTTAAAAAGCGGCGAGATATTTTGGTGCTGCATCCAAAGAAACACTGAGTGTTCCGCAAAAGTGTTTACAATAGGCTGTGAGGACCTCACCAACACAAGAAGTGATTTGGTACATAATCATGAAGCCGATCCAAAAAAGCTTGAAGTAAAGATGGTAACCAATGCATGTAAAAGAAAAGCCCAAGAGGACATATCGGAAAAGCCTGCCAAAATTACAAGAACTGCTGTTGCTGAGTGTGATGCCAATTTGCTGACGGTTCCTGGCATAGCTAGCATAAGAAAGAACATTTACAACTGTCGTCGTAAACTGTTACCAGGTCCGTTACCAAGAAGCATATCAGAAGTCCATAACGCGGTTAGTAATTATTCTCCTAAAACCTGTCGCAATGAAAGGTTTTTTGTTTTTAAATCATCCTGAATTAAATGTAATTGTATTTTCATGCGAGACAAATATTCGTTTGTTGTGTAAATTAAAAACTTTGTATATGGATGGTACATTTTCATACAGTACCAAATATTTTCTACAATTATTTACTATACATGGCTTGGAAAATGGACAATATGTTCCTTTAGCATACAGTTTGTTAAAGGACAAATTGTCAATGGCATACAAAAATTTATTTTCTTTATTAAGGTCTAAGTTTTGTGAAACATTTCAATTATCATTAGAGCCAACTGAAATATTTGTGGGCTTTGAAAAAGCAATTCACTGTGCTTTATTGTATATGTGGCCCAATGCAAAAATTAGTGGATGCCGTTTTCACTTACACCAAAACTGGTTTAAAAAAATTCAATCTTTGGGTTTGGTACAAGAATATAAGGATACAAATTCAGAAATTGGAAAATGGTTAAGGCATACGTTTGGTTTAACTTATTTAAATCCAGCAGAAGTTGAAGAATGCTTTCTTTATGATTTAATGTCATATAAACCTATAAACGCAACACTTGATATATATGCAGATTATTTACTGGAAAATTACATTTTCGATAGCGCTCTATTTCCACCACACATATGGTCTAATCAGAATCCGTCTATTGCGAGGACCACAAATGCCTGTGAATCCTTTCATTCGAGATTTAATTCTTCTTTTTATTCAACACATCCTTCTATTTTTATTTTTATTGAAAAGTTAAAAGAATTTCAGTAGACCTTATGTCAAAATAAATAGTTTACATATACCAGCAAAAATCAAAGATACTACTGTTAAGGCTAAATTGGCATTTTTGGAGAAAATGATGGATAAACTACGATCCCAACAAATACGTAGGTTAGATTTTATAAAAGCTGTATCTTATCATTCCTATAATAGCAAATAAATCATTGTATACAAGTATATTAACGGTAAAATGTACAAAAATTAGGTACTAGTTGTATTATATTTAGATATTATTACAGTTATAAAGAAATAAAATGCACATTACTTTTATTAAAATAAATAAATTAATTAATTATGGTATTTTATTTATGTCGCAGCTATATTTATTTGGTGTCGAATATACCTGTAAGATAAAAACGGGAATTGGGGCTGGTGTCGAAAATTGCCATTAAATTTTAGTCGCTACCTGCTTAGTGTCGAAATTTCCTACGGCCGAAGAAACTGAATAGAAAGTGTTGCTCGTATGTACCACGCAATCCAAATCACGTTTTTATAAAAAAAAAGTATCCCAAAACGCCAAAATATCCATTTATAAGAGGGTGTTTATTCCGATTTTAATTTTTAGTAGTGAAAGCTGGACGCTTTCTGATAAATTAAGATCAAAAATACATAGCATAGAAATGAAGTTTAAGGTCCTACCAATTATTAAGAAATTGAAGAGTCCCAACTAAGATGGTATCAATATATGATTAGAATGAATCAAGAAAGATCAGTTAAATAAGTATGGGAAGCGAGAAGACAAGTTAGAGACCAAGTGGCAGACCAATGAAGACATGGGACGATAATGAAAATTTAGCCTTGAAACAAGAGGAAATAACAAAGAACAAGCAAGAAACCAAGCAAAGAATAAGAAGCAATGGTGAAAAATTGTGCATGCAACTAACTAAAAACATTACACCTGTATGTATGTATGTATTGTTGTATGCTATACCAATGCATGGTAATTTTAGCAAAACAGACGGAATAAGTGAACGCCAAGTTGAAGATGTAGCTCAACAATATGGACGTTACCAGCTGTCAAAGTTCGGAAATTCCTATTACTGTATTTATGTTTTTGCTAAATATAATAAGTAGGTCTTCTTTTTCTCTAAATGTAAACTAACATATTTATTTTATTTTCGTTAGAAATGTTAATTCTGCTATTCTTAATTTTGCTATCTCTATCGGCCTTTATTGTATAATCTTCATAGAACAGTGTAAAAAGAATTACAGATTCATGCCGTACATTTTTTTATAGATCTCAAATATATGGTCGGAAGACATTAAATGTGAGAATATGCTCTTGTCCCAAACGTGATAAAGAAAAGGAGGAAGCAGACGATTCAGGCAAGACGCAACCGCCAAAGGGCAAAAAGAGAAAACTGGATAAACCGGCCAAAAAAATTGTTAGTAATAATCAAGATTTGAGAGAATTCACTATACAGGTAAGTTTTCTCACTAAATTTAAATCTATAACTCCTACGATTGGTAATCTCATCTTCAAGTTAACAGTGTGAATACTTTTCTTTTAACCTATAAGTTTTAATCATTTTCATTCAAAAACAATTCTATTACTTCATTCTCTCCTTAAATGAGTTTTTACCTACAGTACTTCCTACAAAAATCGCATTCATTATCAGTACGTATTTAACATTAAGAAATGTCTTCTTGGACCTTCTTTATATTTGCTTCCTATAATCTTATTTGTACATGGAATATTACATGGAATGTGGCTTTATGTGCTTTACTTTTACTGTGTTCTGTCCATCATAATATGAGCCATTGAAAACCAGAGTGGTCTAAGTAAAAAATGCTGGTATTCTAGAAACGGTAACTTAATTTTAACATATTGGCGTAGATGGGAACATAGAGACTGACTGTGATTATTTATTTATTTTCCAATAAATTTGTAAAAGTGTTCAATAACGTCGAGTAGTCATTCCCAGTTATTGTCTTACAAAAAACTGAAGCAAAAACTTTTCCAGCTTTGAACACGAAGTTTTTTATACGCTATATATAGTTTAATCCATAATAACAACACGACTTAGGAAGTACATAATATGTATATTTTTCAAACCGGGAACATATCGAACGCGATGCTTCTATCCTTGCAGGCTTCTGGTGAACATTCAGACACTTATGGATCTATTTTGCACACATTTTTATCATGTACAAATCACCGTAAAGTATATGTTAGACGCGTTTATATGAAATATGTAATGCATCAGACATTCTTTTTAATCAAATTCGACTGTCTGATATCATGTGATGAACTGCATAAATTTTTACGGGAGTGGACACAGAAACTGGCCTTCTTAATCGTCTTCATGTTCGAAAAGCATTGATCTTCAAGGGTGATAAGCATGTCTTCATAAATCTGCTCATAACCCTCCCAAATACAAGTAGTTTAGATGTTACCCTCCAAAATACAAGGTTTTTCATTGTTATGGTAACTTAATATTTTCTTTATCCACGGAACCGATCTAAACTACCTAGTTGTCAGTTGTCAATACATCCTTGTATATTGTAAATTAAGCACACCCTTACATTTTACGGGAATAAACGTTGACGACATGTTATTGTTTCACAACACACTTAGCAGCTCAAATTATTAAACAAAATTATATTAAGTAGTTTGTAATGTTGTGGAAAATTTAATCAACAGAAAACTTCTTTAATATCTTTAATTTATTCAGTACGTACTGGAATTAATTAGAAATTAGTTTGAAAATGATTCGATTTTTAAACAGGTATTGATAAGCTAAAATTTTTTACGTAGACTGCGCTGGGAATGCTTATGATTTACTACCGGCTTATCAATATAATGATATTTTTATATTAATGATGATATTCTTATATCTTACTAGATCCCCATCGCTGGAAAACATAATATTGGACATGTCCTTAAATATTGTCATGACCTAATGGCTGGAGAAGTTGCACGCCATTCTGGCAATGGGGTGGAAACAACAGCACCATACACTAATGCTTTGTCTAAAATCAGTACAATGATTAGTAAGTATTCGTAATTGTTTCTAAGGGGAATTCATTAATTACGTGAGTTAAATTAAGAAAAAAGTTTTTTTGACTAAATTATGTTAAATCATAAGCCATAAAGTAAGGGAATAGAGGTTTTTTATCCTGATTCTTGTTTTAGTAAGTATATGATAAAACTATTCTGTGTACAATTATGTTATATATTTTATTTTGTGCACACATAATATTGTATTCGTCCTTTCTCGATGAAAGCCATCATCTTTTGCGTGGATGTGAACAAATCCAAAAAATACTCGCGTAATTAATGGAGACTCCCTTATACTCTAACTACTTAAAACTTTTACATTTTATTTTTTGTTTCAGAGGACCTAAACGAATAGCATTCCATGTTATTTCTATACTTTATATTTTTTGTATGTCTTTTTTTTTACACAATTACCTTTGTGTAAACTTGTTGTACTACGTATTTTTATGTTATCACTTGTTTTTATGAGCATTTGTGTAAGTAGGTGTGTTTTATCAGATTGGGGTGGTTTCTCTCTTTAGTTTTTCATTAGCTTACAGTTATTAAATCGTTTTGTTAAACATATTCTTCAGATACATGCCAAGGTTTAAAAATAACTCATAAAGTACTTTTTTAAAAATATATTTTTATATATAAATTGTTATTTTCCAACTTAAAGGAATCGTCCTTTGATATAGATTTGACTATTTAACCACGGGTTGTTAAACTGATTCAAACTTTATTTAAACTAAAGATTTGCAAGTAACAAACTATTCATGAAAATACTAATTATGCATTAGTAGTATTCTCTGACGACTGCATTGATCTGCAGGCTAAATTAAGTGAGGGTAGTCAGATATGGCGAAAAAAATTGCCAGTATAAGTAATCCCTCACTTATTGACCAATGGCTACGAACGGATGATATTTTAAGTGGTAGGGCACTCTTTTGTTCTGGGGTTGAGAAATATCTACTATATAAAATGAACAAAATTTTCTAACAGATCAAAATTATGACATCTAAATTATAAAAATTCCATACATACAGATCATATTATGGTCCTAATACCCCAGTCGTCAGAGACGAAAATGCCACTGAACCTCTAAAAATCATACGAACAAGCTGAATTTTGCAGAGAATATTAATTTTGGTGCCACAAAACAAGATACAAAAGTTTACCACTTTTACCCCTGGCTTTCCCCTAAAAGCCCCCACATAGGGGGGTAAAAACGGGAAAAAAAAGATTTACCAAGAATCTGTACACCATAGAAAAATATGTTTCAAATAAAACATGTAGCTGAGATAATTTCAAACAAAAATGTTGATAAGCATTTGTTGTGTAGAATGAACCGTTCTCTTAGAAACAATGCTTGAAGCGACCGTCTGTTTGTAATGTAAAAGTTTAAATTCTGCGTTTTTGGTCATATTTCAAATGCTTCATATTTGTTACCACAACAAATTCTATGTCATAGGTTTTAAAGATTGATCTCTAAAAATGGAAATTTTACTACAACTGGTCAATGAAAGTGTTATCCTCATATACTTCTTCAGGGTTATCATCTAGTTCAACTGTTTTACCTTTCTTTATTTTAACCAGTTCTTCAGCACCTTTTTGTTATTTTGATATCATTAAAGTTAATTTTCACTATTGTTTTACTGGTTATTTAATCAGCCATCAAAGTATTTATTCCACCGTATTTTTGCATACTTTTCGTTCACTAGTTTTTTATTATTTTCATCTCGTGTATATGTAATTTAATTACTATTTAAATGCAAATAAGCCACAATTAAAGGTTAAAGTAAGTTTATTGACGTTTCAATTTCTATTTCTAATTTCCGAAGTGGAAATTAAAACGTCAATAAACTTACTTTAACCTTTAATTGTGGCCTATTCTCTTTTAAATAGTAATTACTTTAAAATGCCACAAGAAAAGAGCTTCAGAACAATATATGTAATTCGTATAATTAATATTCTTTTTTCTTCATTTTCTCTATGTATACTGAATTAGGTATATATTTCCTCAATTTTATAAACTCAGTTCCTAAACACTGATTAGGATATAAATATGTACTGATTTTTATCTTAAATATTTATTGTGTACCACCAATTTTGATCCTTTTTATCTGTTTCCGAAATAACCTGAAAATATTTGGTAAAAGGATTGTCGACCGAAAATCTTATACCTCTTACAATAGATAATATATTTTACTCAATTATCTATACATACATTATTATCCTAAAATGTTTGCTCAGCATTATGGAATTTGCTTTTTGTTGTTTTTAAATAAACTAACGTTATAGTACTCTCAAAGTAAGAATATGTTTAATATTACTATTTACTTTATTTGCATTCTTCATAGAATTAACGTTTTTAAACATAACTTTTTAGTTTATACTAGAAAACACTAAATTTTTAGATTTATATCATATTCTACCTCAATATAAAGGTGCGCATTATTTTTAAATGCGTCCTGTATTAAAACAGTGTTCATGCTATTTTTAATTTTACATTAAAATGAAAAATAAAGTGCTCAAGTACAAATATATTAAACACTAATTAATATTACATAGATTATAGAACGATGGAGAAACCATTTTGAAAGGGGAATGTTGCAAAGAACTAAATCGGGTTAATAAAATGGTTAGAGAAGTATCTCTAGCGCATTTTAACCAATATTTATTGGTATTTCGTAATTGATTCATTAATTCATTGTAAAATCTCGCCAGTAAATAACAAAATATATACAAATTTATGTTATTCGAATATTCAAGTTTTATAAGCTTAGAAAACTATATGACCCAAAAGTCGAGCCATACTTTTTATCAAAGTTAGCTTCCACAGGCAAAGTCAGATTTAATAAATAGTTTTTTGAGTTTAACTTCCTATCAATCCCTTATGGCTTTCAAGCGATGGGTCAGGACTATTTTATCCATAGTTTGCATGCTTTATTCATCTGGTCATAATTCAGTTCTGTTAACAATATGTTTGCCTATTTCTGCATTTTTTTTATTTCTACTTCTTCCAGGAACTTGCGATTCAGCTATTGGTATTGTGGTTATTATTTCGGTGTTGATGATGCCATATCAATTTTAACCTATATTATGCCATACCTAGACTTCCTCTCAATATATTCATTTTTAACTTTCATTTTACCTCTCGCTTTATTAGAAAATCTTACAACTCACACTTCTTGTGTGACTGCATAGAAGAGTGCAGAGTTGATCAGCGAGAAACATTTTCTTAAAACTTGCTACCAAACAAACACATTCTTGGATCTCTCTTTTTATAGACTTTTCCTTGAAGAACGAGTATTAATATACTATATCCCTGTTAATGCTTATTGTTTATTCAACGCCCACCATAAATCCTCGTAAGATAGGATCCTACCTTATCATACGCTTTCTCAAGATCATGGATGTCATGATGAATATCACATATATATATATATATATATATATATATATATATATATATATATATATTATATATATATGTTCGGAAGAAAGATTTCCGCTGTTAGTACAATTGAACCTAGAGCTAAGATTAATACTATTATAAAAATTAATATTAAACTCACCAGTCTTCCGGGTTGAACCGCGTCGATATTCATTGGGCCGAGCTTTCGACATCCTCACTGATGTCTTCTTCCGGAGTCTCAGTCTCCCGAGTAGTGTCTGGGGACTCTACTCTGGGGTAGTTCTACTCTAAAGGTTCGCCTCTACGATCCTGTCCTAGGTCATATATACCCATAGGACGTTCTGTATTAGCATTGGAACAAGCCGTTTCAGGAATGAGATTTTCTCCACTCAATCTGTTCTATGTCGAGTGAAAGCAAACTCAGGTTCGCAGTATCGAACAGTAGCAGTAATACAGCACGATAATATCAATGATATGTAAAGTTGCTTGCTAGAACTAAATAAAATTTGTACTTCATTGACAAAATGTTTGTATAAAACAGCATTTAAGATCTTTTTTGTACACATATATCAAATATCCCATTAAATTCTAATTTTTGCTTATCGCTGCAGGGAATAATCAATATATCCATTTCAAAAGACTCACATTGTATAGAGGATTTAATTAAGAATGTCATGAAACAGTCCTTTGGGTGAATAATTTTTTAAGTATTTTTCAGAAATTGTGTTAAACATAAACTGGTTGAGATTGTCATGTTTTAAATTGTCAATATAAACTAGAGAAAGAGTGAGATAGAGAGAACAAAGCTGGCGTGGTGATATCGTTAATTTGCTCTGTTTGATTTAGGAAATATATTTGAAAGATTATTTCAGATTTTAATTTTAATATGATCGTTCCATTTATATAATTCCTTTTTTTTTAATATTGTAAGTTAGTAATAGTTTTCCGGTTTACTCATATTTTTTTTTATTTAGGAAGGGCATATGTTACACATGCTAATGTGGTTTTGCTATTGTGCTTTATCAGTTTCAAATTATATAGAATAGGTCTTAAGCAAAATTGGATGCAATAAAGTTGCAATATTTTTTTACCGATTGTTAGGTTAATCTTTATTAATTTTGTAATAATAAAATTTAAAAAAATGTTTTATTGCATTTTCTTTAATTTCCTATAAAAACTTTGTAAAAAAAGGTGAAGTTGTAGATGTTACATGAAACAAATTCTACATAATGGTATATAAAAAATGGACCAAAACGAGGATGAAATCAGAATTTTTTAAGAAAAAGAAATACAATAAAATCACAGACATGAACAAAAACGTTATTCTTTAGATGCCTTCCACATTTCGTGCAGTTGTTACTAGTTACTGTGGATCTATACTTGTCTAATTGCTTACATTAGACATAAACATTTTCTTTCCGTGTTTTCCACCATTACCAGACGTACGAGGCCTAACAACTGTATAATGGGACAAACTAAAGTACATGCAAAATTCGGATACAGTACATTCAACCAACTTACACATCTAAAGGATTAATGGAATTCGCAGAAAATTTTTCGTTGTAGTAAAAGGCACGGTAAACTGCACTGGAGTTTTCCATAATCTTTTTAATTACTTTGTTTAGAATATTTTTGGATGAATAATCAGAGTTAATTTGTATAAAATGGGAAGCAAAAATTCAAATCGAATTTTAATATTATTGTTTATTTGGTTAATAATTAATGTATAAATATAGTGGTTAACCTGCTATGCAATTATTTTGTAAATAACAATAGTCTACTTACTGATTATTTAAATTTATAAATCATCATCGTCACTAAATTCACTACCGCTATCATTATGTAAATCTATAATCACGATTAATTTCACTAATTTTATTTTCCCGGATCCACCATTCTTCTAATTTTTCACATTTATTTAAAGTTTTGGCCCATATTTCTGGAGTTGTAGTTTTAAGAGCTATTGTTTTTTGCAACAATTTCCTAACTGCATCCAACGTGACTATCATAATACATTTTACATATACCCCAGTTGTGTTCGATGGGATTAAACTGGCAGTGATACAGTGGTAACCGCAGTACTTGATGTCCATAACCTAATACAGTTTGGTAAACTATATAAACTGTTTGTTTTCATTACGTTTCAAAATATCCAGTAACTCTGATTATTAAAAGTTTTTACTAGGGAAAAAGTCTAGATACTCAGTCACAGTAAGATCTTCTTGAGAATCTCTGACAGTCTTCATCACAGTTTTTAGCTTACTTTTACTTATCCCGTGTTCGTCACAAACGCGTTGATATTTATACATAATGACTTATCCACTATTGTCTCTCCATGGCAAAGATTTATGCATATTTGCAATTAATTCATCAATATCCAACTTACGTCTAGGCATGACTGTCACTTGAAACTACATGTTTGAATTACAATATACTGAGTTTAGATCAATATTATGAGAAAAACTTTCTAAATTGTTGTGCTTGCGAGGTAAGATATAAAAACAAAGATCCTAGACATATTAAGCAAATTAGCCTTATTATTAGAAATGCCGATTGTAATTTAATTATGTTTGATAAAAAGTTTAGAAATAGTTGGAAACCGTACGTAAACAAATTAAAATGTTTCTCACAATTATTTTATTTTTAGTATTTTCATTTGAAAATAAAAAGTTAAATATATTTACCAAAACCTAACTTTAACCCCTAATCGCAAACGTCCCAAAAATGGTACACTATAACAGACATATGGTAAATCTAACCACCACTACTTAAATTGACAAAATGTTTTAGTTTACTTCGAAGTATTTTTTAACAAAAATTAAAGTGATGTTTTAATACTTTGTATCTCTACTTTGAATATAAATTATAATTAGCACGGTAGTATTTGTTTCAGAAAAAAATTATTAAAGATGTAGGTTAAATAAATTTACGTTAAATAACATTATGCAAGAATACTGTTTATTAAAAAAATTTAACAAAATATGCGAAACTATTTGTCAAAACATCCCATATTCAAACAGTTTTTATATTGGTGGAGACGTAGACGACGTACTGGTATGTTTCACAGGAACTAACAGGCAACTCGACCAATTTTTATCGTATATTAATTCACTTCATAGTCATATTGAATTTACAATAGAACTACAACAAAATCAATCCATAAATTTTTTACATTTAAAAATCAGACTTAAAAAAACATGACTTCTCCATATTTCATAAACCTACCCATACTGACACGACTATACACAATTCATCACCCCATCCCACACAACATAAACTGGCAGCCTATCATAGTGTGTTACATAGATACAATTAATAAAATAATCAATCAAAAACTACACAAGAAAGCCCTGAAATTAGTATTTCCACCACCAGAGAAAAACTCAGTACCTTTTGCTCGATTACATATACAGGCAAAATATCAAAAAGATAACCAAACACAAAAAAAGGAATAACACCAGCTTTCAGAACAAATAACAACTTCAAGCAAATATTTTAAAAACAACAAGAGCCAAAATAAAAAAACACTTACACATTGGTGTGTACAAACCACTGTTAGATGTGGCGACTGCCCAAAAACTTACATCGGTCAAACGGGTAGAGATTTTAATAAATGAATAGCAGAACATAAAAGGGCTTTCAATAATAGAAAAACAGATTCTACCTACGCACTTCACCCTCTAGATCATAATCATTCTTTTGTAGCATTTGAAATTCATTGATTCTTTGAAATATATTGAAATCCCCTCATATATGTTTGAAAAATCAGTATTTTTAATGCATCTCAGTTTCCTATTCGTACGTATTAAAACCCAAATAATATTTCGTTCTTTGCAGCGTCGCCAAGTAATAAAAACCATTTTAGAGTTGTTTATTTCGTGGCTGCGTATTTTGCTCGATATTATTCTTTGATTTAAGCCGCCCGTTGTATTACGTTTTCAAATTAATAATTTTCGTTGTGTTTTTTTTGGTTTTATTTCAAGTTATGTGAACGAATTTTTAAGATAATTTCGTCATTCTTACTTGGGTCGTTGTAGACTCAGGTATGGATCCAAATTCATCCGTCGGATTTGTAGTTTTCTGTTTTTGGCCCCTTTTTATGGAAATATGTAGCAGTGAAAAGTAGTTTTGTAGCAGTTAATGGTTCAGTTAATGTTTTGAGTGAGGATTGGAAGAATCGTCGTTTCCATCCTCGTTTTGTTTCTCCCTGGTTGTCATCCAAGGCTTTTTGGCAGTTTGGAGATGGATTTGTTCGTGTGTTCATTACACAGAGAGAGTGAAGCCTCCAGTTATGGTTACAGAAATCTTAGTGCAATTTTTTTGTGAATTAAGGTAACTTTTGTTTCAAATTTTAAAGTAAAGACAGACAATTTTTTATAAAATAATAATTGCTTTCACAAAAATTTAAAAAATAGTAATATTAAATATTGTAAATTTTGGGTTTTGACTTTAGCTGTTATTTTATTTGTTTTCAGTTTTTAAAATTTAATGTTAACATATGACAGCTAGCTTTATTATTTTCGATATTTATTTGTTTGTTTAAAAAAAAGTTTAACCTCTGTGCGGTAACATTTGTAAGTTTTTTGTAGTATCTCCAACTCCTAGAGTTTGTAAATGGATGACATGTAAGTTTTTTTGTATTTTGTAACTATTGAGGTAATATTTTTATATTGTCTTTTTTGAGTATTCTTGTATTCTCTATGTTTTGTAACTGTTTGTGGTAAGACACAATAAATGTTAAATTTTGTTACTTAACATTTTGTTTATTTTTTTAACTAACCCCTTTTTTGAGTTTTATTTTAAAAACATATGTTTTTTTTGTGTTTAATAATTATTTCCCTAGTTACAACTAGTGGTTGTAATAGGTATAATTAGGCACCTCAAAGTGACGCCCTATATTAAATTACTAGAGGTGTTTCCTGTTTCTTTTTGCTTTGTTTATCCCAAGAGATTCATGACCTTTTGTTTCATATTTTTGTAGTTGCCCCAATCCACCTCCCTTATCTTTTACTTATCCGCGATTCTAGCTCTCCTAACAAACCCTGAGTGCCGTTCGCACAAGTAGCGTTTATTTTGCTTGCCCTATCTTTACTCCCATAATCTTACCCTGAGGTAGGCAAAATATTTTCGTTACACTTTTAATGACGAATTTAAAATTCTTCACATTCAAAATAAAGGCCTTAAGCTATCTTTGTTAGAATCTATGGAAATCAACAAATTAAAAAACACAGGTATAATTCTGAATGACCAACTTGAGACAAGCAGTTCTCCCCTCCTCAACCTATTTCATTAAAGACTATAAAGTGTAAACGCATGCCAAAAATAGATCACTTGAGAAAAGCAATCAGCCGAAACAAAGTTTTCAGTCGTTTATTGTTACATCTCAATTTCATTTCAGTCTTGTAATTAACGTTTAACGATTTCAACCCCTCATTTCACCCTGATGTTCCTACCATAGAATTATTTGTGTAAGTTTTTATTCATTGCGGGCCAAAACACTTTTGTTCTCGTATCTTTTTGACCGCAGAGCCAAAGGTATAAGTCTTCATGTGAAGAGCAATGAACTTTAATTTCTCCTATGTCTTTAAGTAGTGTAAAATTTCCTTCTATGTTATCATTCTCAATGTCTTTCTCATCAGTTAGCATATCTGTATCTGGAGGAACAATAGTAATCCACCTCAGACCGCGAATTATAAGTACGAAAACGGGTTAGACGAAAAACGGCATAACCTTGCATGGCGAGCTGCCTAAAATTTTATTATTCTAACCTTTAGGGGGGGTCAATAGTAAAATTTAAAATCGCGACTGAATCCAACCGTTGCATTTGCTGCGTGCATTTGCATCTTGAATTTAAAGGAGAACTGTTTTTGCTCAATATCTCGGCCATTTGGCTGAAATTGTTGCAAATGCGATCACCTACAATTTCTTTTTTATACATTTTTTCGTGCCTTCAATATTTTCCGAGTTACGGGGGGAAATAGTGGTGGGGGAAGCATTATTATTTAATTATCTCGTTTATTAACTTTATGACGTCATCAGCAGCAAGCATTAAAGGAACGACCCTACAAACTAAAACATATTTATTTCAGGAAAAAATAAAATAGATCAAAATTGTATAAAATGTAATTCTCTTCATTTTTGCCTATACATATTTATGTCGTAAAGTAAATAATAAACGAAATAATTTAATAATTATGGTTCCCCCCTCGACTAATTTCTACCTTAAGTCGGAACCACACGAAAAAATTTGTAAAAAAGAAATTGTAACAATAATAATAACAATTGTAACAATAATAACAAATCTGGTAAACAATATATCTGGTAAACAATCTGGTAAATCTTATAACAATATTGTTTTAAAGCATTCATATTTCTCAAGACTTAGTGCCTACCATTTTGAAACTATATTTATAACACCATTTCAACCTACTACATAAGTAAAACACATTAATTATTTAACAAGTTTATTGCTAATTTTAAAATAGTATAAAAAAGGTTTAAATTTTCTGTTAATTTAAATTACAAGGTTTATAACCGGAATACACGAAAACTGTTGAAAAACTGATATATGTAATTTTTGTTAGTTACCAATTGTTATTTAAATAGTTAACCAGCAGCACACAGTACGAGTGCTGCTGGTGTGAGCACACATAACGAGGTTATGTATGGATATATAAAATTTTGTAGACTTTTGTTGGTTTTAGTCATCTTAATAATGAACTAGTAATATCCAATTTTTAGTAAAATTTATTAAAACTATGAAACTTCTAATCACTTTAATGATAAAATCTTGCAATAGACATAGATCAACAAACCTATATAGTGAAATCGGAGGCTTCTACGGTCAGAGTCATAATTAACTAAACGGGTTTGGACCGTGCCTTTTTTGGATAACCGGTATGTGGATCCATCTCAAGGTTAAGCTACATTTGTTGGTAACTTCTTTAGGAGTAAGGAAAGGCAGTTGATCACGGTAACTCGAGTACTCAACATACATAGAGGAGTAAATTCAACAGGGAGGGATTTAAGCGAAGTAACTCAAATACTTAATGTATCCAGAGTTGAAATGGAAACATCCGTCGGAGCCTCTCTACAACAGCTCTCATATAACTGGTCGTTCGGGTCGTCAATATTGGGACCCTTGGGGTGGTAATAATTGCCACCGAAGACGATTAGTTAAACCTGTACAATCTGTATAAAATGATTACCATCAAGTAACCTACACGTGGCTTGACATATTCTCCTTTTACATCTATTAATTTCTCTGATTAAATAAAATATCGAACATGAAAGTAGATTTTGAGGAATAACTAAAACAATAACTGAATGGTTAGTGAAACTTGACACAACACAGAAAGTCATAAATTAAAGCCGAGAAGACTACAGATAAATATCGCTAATAAAAAAATGAAAAAACACCACTTAAGTAAAATAAAAGCCAATTATAATAAAAGTTTCTCGCATAGATCTTAAAAAGATCCATACTATGTAACACTTGCCATGAAAACCTCTGTAATTTACGCCACTGTATGAATGCTATACTTCCGATCATTTCACCAGCAACTTAAGCCGAAAACACTTTATTTCTTCACTTTAAAATAGGACATTTATCTTAGGTTGCGAAGTGATGCCAGAAGATTTTCTGACATAAATACTGGAGACGTTATTTAAGAATATCCCATTGTGATTTTCATGCAGCGCTGTAGAATGAAATACTCATTGCATAATTTGTGACGCATTAAAAACAGTATGTGGTTACAAATGACATAAAGAAAATTAGAAGCTATTGGGGGAAGCATATATTTGGTAGTGGACGTAACTGGCTCGGTCCTGATGATTTTGTACCGCGACATATTTTGATACATTTCAAATAATCGATTCGATAACACAGCGGACTGGCAGATTCGCTTCGATGCGAGTTTTAGTAAGTTCATGGTTTGAGCGACACTCCAACCAGAATATTTTCAAATGTCATGGCGTAAAATCAAAAATTGATGCGGTTTTGACACTCGGTGACACTCAATCATGGATCTCATGGAAGGCATTAAGACGCTAGAAAACCGGAACATATGTGAGTCATATGTACCGAGTATAACAATATAAGTTAAAAGTGACCTCCAAAGCATTTAATTTATCACCAAATTTGACCCAATTGAATAAAATGTAAGTGAGTTGGGAGTTCCCCAATACTTTCATTCTGACGTAACAAGCTTCCGATTAAAATAAAGTCAACGTTTTTTGGTGCTTTATAGTTGCATGGCAAGTTAGGGACATTTCAAAAGTTAAAACGGCTCCAAAAGTGTATAATTTTCCATCTTGTGGGTGAGACTTCTGACATCAGAGTGGAAGTAAAAAGGTCTACCAAATGTCTATTGCCCTACTATAATGTACATTATAGTGTATGAGTTAAAAATATAAATCTGGGTAATAGGTTCAATTAACAGACTGAAGGCTAATATTTGAACATTTGGCACTTTCGGAGACTAATGAAAATATTTTGGACGGAATATAGAATAAATTAAGTTTTAATACAAGAGATGAATTTTCGGATGATATAAATACATATTCATTGTTACACAGTACAAAATAGACGGCAACAGTGGAACAGGTTGTAAAACTTGTCTGTTGATGAAAAATTGAAGTAAACCAATATTGAGCTGTTTGTACTATTAAAAACAGTATAAAACAAAATAAATCAAGCATTATAGAAGAAAAATATCTCAGTAGAGCGCATTTAAAAATTGATTCATTCTATGTGCTTTTTATACATAATTATTAAAAAATGCGTTTGATTGGTATTTTATAAACAATTTTAAATTCTAAACAGTCTATTTTTAATCATACTAAATTTAGTTTTAGTTTCATCGAGATTACATCTTCATCCGAAAGGTTCTTTAATGGCGCTCTGCAGATACCCACGTTAAAAGGTACTATCAAATTCATGCATGCTTTCATTGTAGAAACCCAAAAACCTAAAATATATAAAGACATTGGAATTATAATAATTAAATGTTATAAAAAATAATATAACAAAAACAAATAATAAAACTATAATATGTCAAATGAATCATATAAATATTTCATCATTTAACATATTTCATTTCATTTCATCATATTTTTAACATTTAGTTCACCGTTTCTCAATCGTTTACCATTTGCGACTCAATTTTTCATAATTATTTTCACCGCGCCTCCCCTCGTACAATAACAATATATGTATGCAATAATAATGTACCTTAAGTATTTTGACGCTAAACTTAGAGTAAAGCCTTAATAACCAAATTACCGAGAATCAGTAAATTTATTGATATGTGGCAACACCGATCCGGAACCGATATCTCTCTTCGCGAGAAGTTCCAAGATATTTCATTCTCGACTGTCTGCATCTTCTCTAAAATATATAAGCGAGCTTCGATACTAGTGAAGTATCAACAAGTAAACAGGCAAGAGTGGTTCCAAAAACAAAATCAAGAAAATATTCTCAAGAATACTTAAATTTTGAGTTTACCTGTAACGATGAGTCCAAGCCATCACCGTTAAACCAGCGTGCGCGCGAACCAACCCATGTAGTAGGAGTGTATCGACAGTAGAAAGGGCAAAACTAATTACCAAGCTCCGCTATATAAACCGCAACATTTCCTCATAGAGGAGAATCGACAGGTGTTGACTGAAGGTTCTCTTCTTCCCTACCCCGGCTTGTGGACGTGTTGAGTTCACAAGTTGTTCCGTTCCATACCGACCGCCGTTACCCGAAGAGCGTGTTGAGCTCTTCATTACCCGTACTCCGAAGCAGTCGTGTTGAGACTGTCGAGGAGTGTCCTATTAACCCGAATCACTTAAGGGACGTGTTGAGTTCCTTTCCTTTCTTTGTACCTATCGTCCGCTGTTATTAAATCGATACAACGTTCACGTAAAATTTCAAAAAAACACACTCGCTTGCCGATAAGACTAATTTCATACGACAAGGTCAAACTTAATTTGAATCAATAGGCCAGGTACTGAGAAGACTAAACCAAATTGTAAATATGTACATAAGATTTTTGTCAATTTAATTTAAGGAAGACAATAAAGTTTTATTTTTATTTTGAACTCTGTCTCTGACTGTCCAAAAGCTACCCGGATAGTGACTCCTACGAGAGGACATCACATACCTTTACTGAAGTAAGTAGAGAAGAACGGCCTCTGTGTATCATCTGCTCAAAAATTTTAGCAGCCGACAGCATGAAACCTAATAAATTTGAGACATTTAAGAAACGCTTAATAGTGAGTACATTAACAAACTCCGAGAATTCTGCGAGTTAAAATAACGTGAAAGCAAGAATCATTAAAAAAAATCTTTGACTGTGAATGAAAAAGCTTTACCTGGGTCTTATAAAGTCTCATATCAAATAGCCAAATGTAAAAAGCCTTACACTATTGGCGAAGAGCTTATTTTGTCAGCTGCCCTTGAAATTGTCGAAACTATGTTTGGAGATAATTTTGCTAAAAAAATTGGAGTCTATAACTCTATCAAATGATACTATTGCCGAATCGGTGATATAGCTGAAGATATAAAGGATTAGCTACTCGGGAAGTTGAACGACAAGCTGTTTTCGATTAAGCTTGATGAGGCAACAGATAGCAATAAAGATGCTCATTTTATTGTCTACGTTCGATTTTGTGATGGCATACCAGCAGTAGTAGAATAACTGCTTTTCTGCAAACCAATACAACCGAAAGCAACATCGCTCGCATTATTTGCTATCTTGAACTATTATATAAACGAAGCAAAAATAGAGTGAAAGAATTGCGTCGGAATATGCACGGATGGTGCTCGTGCAATTTCCGGAAAATTTAAAAGTCTACAAGCGTTTATGAAACAAAAGTCTCCCAAATGTGTATATGGATACACTGTAGAATCTACAGAGGAGCTCTGGCTTCCAAAGACATGTCTCCTGGCCTGAATATTGTGCTAAGTACGGTTGTAACAGTAGTTAACTAGTTAAAAATGAGACCACTGAAAACTAGAATCGTTTCCGGCACTGTGTAATTCTCAAAATTTTTAAATTATCTGAAAGAACAAACAATTTTTTTTATTAAAAAAAAGTATTAACGCCTGAGTATTAAGTATTGCGGAGAACATACGTAACAGAATATAGAGTTTACAAATATGTTATGTAGATAAATAAAAAATTTACAACATAGTAAATAACTTTTTTGTACAAAAAATATAAAGTTCACAGTTTGGTTTCCTTGAGAAAAATCAACAATTTATTTAAATTAGATGTTAAAATAGTTTTAAGATTGTCAACAAGCGAAATTGCAATTCAAATATTTTGACTGGTTATAAAGGGACACGAAGGAATATTTGTAATAAACAGAGTAAATAATTATAATTAAAGCATATTGTACAGCTTCTTCTTTCTTGAAGTAAGCCCTGTGTAAATATACTCGTAGTATGACCTATTCCGAGACGGTTAATGATGACTTGGTCTTTCCTGTTATTTGTTTGCTTTATTATGTAGTTGCTACTTTTTCTAATCATTCCTTTAATCTACTGATAGTTTTAGTTCACGTGTCTTTCTACTTATCTACATGTCTTCTGACGCTTGGTTGTGATCATTGCATAATTTTGTTCAGTGAGAAAGCGCTTGTATTAGTTGATGTAACATATACCAGGGAATCATTTATTGCCACATGTGAGGCAACCTATAAACACCCCCTTTATCTTGTTAGTAAGGGATTTAGATATTTTTTTTTACATTATACTGAAGTAAACAGTGGCTTTATACAATATTTTATAGATGTATTTGGCAGACATTAGTCGCTAATTATTACAAATTTTTTTGAAGAAAGTGCCTTATATTTTTTTAGCGTCTGGTGAATTGCCATAAGTTTTTCTGTGAAAACACAACAAACTGTTGATGGGTATTTGGATATTAAACGGTTATTAAAATCTTCCTGGATAAGGAAGGGGTGTGTGGTTTGTTTGGAGAACTTATCGTGGTGGTTTAATCATCAATAGGCATGCTTAGAGTAAACTGATATAAACTAAAGCCATATGTGTTATTCTTTCAGAGGAAAAACGCTTTTCTCTTTAATGTCTGTGTAAATATCGGAATATGAATTTCTTCTTCTGAAAATTGTTGGAAAAGCTGCATTGTTTTTATCAGCTGAAATTCTAGCAGACTAATTTCGTCATATGAGCTGTCTTCTTTTATTGATTGTAAGCTACTGATTGGACTGGTTTGTTTACCGCTCCTAGTGCTAATCTTGAACATGTATTTTGGATATAATTAAGTTGTTTAGTACTGTTTTATTGGCAATGTCAGAACATATTGACCCATAATCCAATTTACTTTCTATTAGGATTATGTATATGCTGAGCAAAGTGGCTGTGTAGACTCAGGTGTTTGATTTTTAAGATATTAAGTCTGGATTGGCATGTGCGTTACAGGTCTCTTGTGAGTTTTCCATTTCAGATTGTATTCAAATGAAAGTCCTAAGAAATTATTTCTTTAACTTGTTTCACTGTTTTTTACTGTGAAAACTGTAACAAGTTTTTTCACTGCAAACTATAAAACCCGTGTTTTTAGAGCAATTTTGATCTATCCAATCTCGGATAGGTTTTAGGATAAGGCATGTTGTGTCAAATGCTTTACGTATGTCAAACCATACGGCAATAGGTTTGTGATTACGCAGGAAAGATTGTTGTATTGCTTACTCCAATGTTACTAAGTTGTCTGTTTTAGATCTACCTGTACGAAAACCGCATGTCTGTTTTTTATAAACTGATTATTTTCGAGATGCCATGTAAGATAGTGGAAAATCTTTTCTAGAAGTCTACATACAGCAGGCTAATGATATTGGGCCATATGAATTGGATTTGTCTTTTTGTTTGTTATGATTAATAATGAGAATTATGGTGGCATGAGTCCACAGATCGGAAAAGTTTTGTTGCAAAAAAATATTGTTGAATACAACAATAATTAGTTATGCATTCAAAGTAAGATTTCCCAGAAAAAAGAGCGAATATCGTCTAATTCCCTCTGGTTTGGTGAATTTTTGGATTTAACAACAACAATCTACCTTAATCTGCAAACCTCCTGGAGGTTTATTCTGGAACCACATTAACTCTCGATTATAGGTATGACTGAGACTTCAACTATTTTTTTATGTTCTAGAAAGGAAATATTAAAGTTTGCATTACTGGAGTTGAACTGGTATACAACTGTCAGAATGTCTTTGTTAGAGTATGTTTGGTTATTGATATACAGTGATGTGATGGCCTCCGGAGGAGATTTCTTAACTTTTATTTTGCGAATTTAATCCATAAGTGTTCTATAGTAGAAACATTCTATTGAACATAAGTATTTTTTCACTTTATATCTTTATCTCTTTTTTGAAAAGATGACGGATTTTAGTTCTTAAATTTTTAAATCTTTTTCTTCGGTTTTGTCACCATCTGAAGATTTGTTTAAAAGCAAGTTTACTTGCGGCAAGAGGTGATGAAATTACATTGCTCTTTTCGTTTACACAACTTTGTTTTTTCCACTGCCACTGTGATTGCATAAACAATGAAGTTTATAAAATAATTCAAAGTAAAATCCTTAATTTTAAGCTTAAATCCTTTATTCTTTTATGAGTATTCTGTATAATTCCCAATCAACTTTTTTTTCCATGTTTGATAGATTGGAAGGCATTGATTTGTATTGATTATTGAAGGATATGTTGATGGGAAAATGATCGCTCTCATATAAGTACTCTATTGATCCCGATTTAATACCGGCGTCAGATATGAACTACATAGAGAAAGATCTAGGGCAGAGAAAGTACCATTGTAGATTTTCTGGTGTTTGGTAGTAACAAATTTGAATTATTGTTATAAAATTATTTATTAGGTAACCATATTTGTTCATTTTAAAACTTTCCCAGGTAACGTTGTGACAAATCGTTAAAATACAAAAAAAGTCGCCAAATATTATTTTTGGGTTAGAGATAGAGTTTAACAGATTGTTTAATTATATTATATCTGAATCATGAGAATGAGTTAAGTAAAGGTTATAAAAAGTTAAGTTCATTTTATGAATGGACTCTTAAATATTCCTTGGCAAAGATTGACTCTTTACCACAAGCTTCATGGATTCAATAAGGGACAGTAACCGTTTAAATTCCACTGATGAACAAATAATCAAGCATGTTAACTACTGTATTTGAGAGCTGGATCAGTTTCATCTGCAGAAGGGAGACTTCATAGTTGGAGATTCTTTTTTAATCTGGCGATGTTGTTTTTTAAAGTTTTACTTTGGGATTCATAATTTAAGTTGTATTTTTGTTTTTGTTTGGAATTATTCATAAAAATGATTTTCGACTTGTTTGTTAGTGTTGATTTCGTCATTTGGATTATCCGAAAGTGAATTGGCTAATAATAAATTTTCGGTAGTTTCCATTTGGTTAACTACATGGTTTGGTGATGTATATCGACACTTAGAAATTTGATGATCAGTTGTCTTACAATGGGAACAATTTAGACCGTCTATGGAAGTATAGAGTCGTTATGCCGTGTTGTAGCAAATTAGGAACAAATCAGGAATTGATACATTTTCGATAGGAGTTGAATATATTTGCCGTCTGAAGCTCAATACGTGGCTGTATTCTCGTAATTTTATATTGGAGACGGCTTTTATTTTAAATACTCTCCAATACATTATTAGGTACCGGTAGGACAGACGGTTAGTATATAAGTAATTCCTTGTTCAGGAGTGACAAGACGTCTTAGCTCGATCTGAGACACATTTATATTATTATTTGTAAGTTTATAAGAGGAAATAAATTTATTCACAACAAATTTAGATGAGAAATATACGCACTTGTGCAGATGCGGCCGTATATAATTTTAGATACCCAGATATCATTATTATGTGAGTGGACTATAGATCCCAATAGCTTTAAAATAATCGACGATTATGATTCCTTCTACAGTGGAGTGTGGTATGATACCATCTTTTTATATATGTATTGAAGTAATCACAGTTGGAGTATGGTAAATGTGGTATACTAGGTAAAAACAGTGAGAATTTTCATCACCAGAAAACCTCTTCATCTCATCTTCCATATACTATATTACATAGTTGGGGCAAATTACTGACGGCTCTGGCACTTATGTTTTTCTGCGCAGTAAAACATTAGATAATGATATTTGTTCGTTAATTTTTATTGTAGTGTTAGATATAGTAATATGTAGTATACTTAGTATATATATATATATATTATAATATATATAATATATTATAAATAAATATATATATAGATCGGTTTATAAAACGTTCTCCTACGTCTTCCGTTACCCAGTAGACCAATCTCTCGATTCCATCAATAAGTCGTCGTTCTAAGTCCTCTGTCTGTCATTTCTCTATTGATGCCTTCTCTCCAACTAAGATGGGGTCTTACCTCTTTTTTTCCTACCGTGAGGGATCCACTTAAGTGACATGTTTCGGGTGACGGTTTTCTTCCGACATCTCTGTACATGAACCATATCATCAGAGATGTATTGTGGTACCAAATTGTGGAATTACATTTTGTAGTGTTATTTGCTGTTATTAATCAAATAAATGTACTCACAAATTCTACAGTTAAATGCACTAATACTTTAACTTTAAGTCGTAGAAATGTTAAAATTGTTAATTTGTTTTGATTATCAATAAAATCTAATTAGTCAGGACCGATTTAAAACGTGGGGTGCGTAGAGATACGTTCTCCCACTATTACTGTTTAAAAAATTATATTACGGGGAGGATGACCTCGTTAAAAATCCTTGCATACAAAAATTATCTAAAACAATGACTATTTTTATATGGAAGCTCTAGAAGACCGATCATATGACGTAAAAGTAAACAAGGAACTGATCGATAATATCAAGTATGCAGATGACCCTGGAATTTTATGAAATAATATGCAAGTTCTGGAGTATCTGCTGAACTGTGTCAGCGAAGTATGAAAAAGTGGGGTTGAATATAAATGTGAATAAGACCAATAATGAGTAAATAAACCAAGAAATAAAATTGAATTTCCTTTTGCTGCAATAATAACATCAATCTGAAGTTACAACGGGTTGTTAAATCGGTTAACGTTCTTGGTCTGACAATGAAAGTAGTAACTATAAATCTTCTAGAGGTCCTAGAAATGTGGATTCACAGAAGAATTCGAGACTTTTATGTGCAGACGATTCTATGGATGATACGGGTGGAAAAACTACCAAACAAAAAACTCCTACAATATGATAACACTATTCGGGAACTTGTAGCAGCCATAAAATGTCGAAAAATTTCCTATCTAGGTCACACTCTTCGAGGTAACCAGCATTGTAGTTTACCACTATTAATAAACGGCTAGATAACTATACGAATTGGAATTGGTAGAAAACAAGCATCATGGCTGAATAATACTCACAACTGGACAGATATCCTTAGTGTTGATCAACTCGTTAAAGTTGCGGAAAATCGATAAGAAGCGGAGCTGCAGCTGTTAATACCTGCGAAAAATAAATACTAGCGGTATTCGAACGGGTACAGGCAAAGGACGATATTTTGGTTATGACCAAAAACCGCGGAAGACTAATCAATACTTAGTCTAGGTTAGAGGTGTGGTGGATCACTACGCCATACGGACAAGGAACGGAAGCGATCGCTCAATACTTGATCGCAGACGAGGAACAGAAAGGATGATTGGCCTTTGATCAATACTCAGACGCAGGGTCGGAGCTTTTACCAGATCAGTACTCCGGATAGAACGCAGCTATCTGTCTTGGTTTATGGCGTTCTATATTTTTGGCGGTGTTACATCTCCAGCGCACAGCGATGGTAGTGGTGGGCCGCAGTTGGGAGTGCAAGCAGAGAGAAGGACAGTCTACAGCAAGCGCTATTAGCTCATAATGGCGGCATACCATCGTTATATTTAATAACACTATATGGATAAACCGACATATGAACCCTAAGATGTTATCAAGAATTTATAAAGCCAGTATAAGATTAATAATGCTGTATGCAACAGAAACAAGACCCGACACAGCCACAACACATAGACTACTGGAAACGGCAGAGCTAAGAGCAGAATTACAGGAAATACGCTGAGAGATCGAAAAAGAATTGAAGAAATAAAAACGAAATATATCTTAGATCGTATAAACGCATTGATATTAAACAGAAAAAAATGGAATAATCGCATAAGTAGAAGAGACCAGAATAATAAAAATAATCAGAAATAAATCACCAAATGATAGAAAAGATATAGTGACAATCTTCTATAGAGGTATCAATCCGGTAATAAACAACCAGAATTGGTTAAAGTGGGGAAGAAGAATTAAAATATTTTTAAAACGGCACATTACATCAGTACTTTTTATCAAGTACTTATATGGATATGCATCAGAATTATATAATTGCTTTTTATTTGTCACTTTTTGACATTCGTTTTTTCTCTACTACTAGTCACAATACAATTTAAAACTATTTTCTTACCAAAATCATATATGGCCGTACAGCTTGTAGTAAGTTTCTTTTGTAACCTTCTAACTTCTATTGTTTTGGTATTCTTTGTTGATTTTAGAATACTACTTACTTGCTGAGGAAACAAATTTGCAACTGGTAGTATTCCACTATCAAAACCAATAGAAACGGCAGCGGCTAGTTGCTACAAAATAGACAATATATAAAAGCTAAAATTTTGAAATCAAACCAGTTTTTAATTACTATTTAACTGGGAATAAGCCACAATTAAAGATTAAAATACGTTTATTGACGTTTCAATTTCCACTTCGGAAATCGTTCTCAAAATACAAACAGTAAATTAAACAAATTTTTCGAAGTGGAAATTGAAACGTCAATAAACGTATTTTAATCTTTAATGGGGGCTTATTCCCAGTTTAATAGTAATTAATTTAAAATGCCATAAGAAAATAGCTTTTTTAAACCAATTTTTTGAAAATAACCTCCGATTTCCATCAACACACATCGATTTTGATGAAATTTTGCAATTAACCTCTATTTACTTTTAACTTCAAAATATACTCTATGCCGAAGTGTGATTTTATCTAGGGGTAGAATCCATCCTTATAGTGTGCTATTGGAACCTTGATATTGAAAATATTAATAAGAATCAATAAAAAACTTTTCGAAACATTTTATCGAAAAGATTGTTTATAGTCTAAGAACCGAATCTAGATCGACCTTCACTTATCTTTTTACCGAATAAAACATTTTTTATCACATTTCATACATGACAAATACGTCTTGCTTTATTGCCTATCAAACTATCTTCATAGTTGTTATCCTTAATAAAAAAAATAATTAATTTGTTGTAGCAAGTTTTATCCATTTGTTTGCCAATAAAATGTTATTGAAACTAAGTTTAAAACATATGAAATAGGTCTATGAGGTATTACCTACGTGTTTAAGTTCATGACTACCGGGCAAGCAGGTGTAATCAGGTAAGCAAATAAAGGTGACTGTTCCGATCTGTTTACCAATCAAAATAAATATCAAAATAAAGATTATTTAAGAACAAACGAGATGATATCGTATTTCCTGCAATAAGCCATTCATGAAATACTATTGCTAGGCTTTAAAGTTTAAAAATCGGAACAACTAAAGTTTCGCGAGAGAGAGATACGTTTTATTTAGTGTAATAAAAAAGGACGGAGCATTGTAGCTGCGCGGGACTCCTTCGTTGAATAGCAGAGAGTACGCATGCTCTTTTTACATATGGTTGAGAGAGACCACATTTTTCTGTTATGAATCACTCCAAATGTTGAAGACGTGTTACGGGTTTTTGACGGAAACAAATAACCTCTGCCCGTCAAAGGTGGGACCCCAACCATGGTATGAGAACAAAAATATTAACGTTCGTCAAGGAAAATATTGATTTGTCCAAAAAAAGATGATATTTCACATTCTTCAGGAAAAAAAAAAACAAATTTTCAAAGTCAAAAAAAGTCGTCAAAGTGTAATCGAAGTAATAAGAAGTAAAATGAATCCGTTTGAGAATATACATAAAAATATTTTATGCAGCGACTGAAAATGTTGCTACTTTCTTGGTTAACATTAAAAAATAAGTTCATAACCAAAAAATAAATTTTATTTCGGAATACAGCTCAATACTTCGCAGATTTGAAAAACTAATACCACGGAACAAAATCTTAAATTTAGCTTCAGAGTGCATTAACAAAGTTCTGATAAACAAAGATAAAAATATGAAGGTATTACTAAAGATGGAACGAGACATCTTTGGGAGATTACTAGTTATTAGTATTTAGAAGAAAATAAATATTGAGTATTGTTTAATTTTTCCGCTGGCACCAATGCCTCCTGCTCTCTTTTCGTGTGCTGGTACAATGTGCAAAACGTTAGCAAAATCGTTGAAATCTCAAATTGAAATAGGCGAACCAGTGTATAAGATCAGGCAGGATGCTTTTGCTTAGGATCAGGAATAGCTTCACCCCCTGGATCTTTTGCTTCTTCGATAGCTCGTAGACTGTATATTTATTTCTTCTATGCGGTTAGTTGAAGGTAACTGCAGGCTCAATCGTCTAATTGGCTTACCTTTAAGAGTTGTTAAGTATTGTTTGTTTAATAAAACTCACCTGCAAGGAAACACAGGATTCTAAAAACGTTGTATGAGTGGAATATCCGGGGACACTGTTTATCGTTCATCAACAATTTTTCAACCAATCGGACTTTTCGGGAAAGAGTTTCCAATTCGTGTTCGAAAACTCACTGCTTAACAAATGGAGTACCACAAGGGTCTGCTCTTAGCTTAACTCCCTTGCTAATAGCGATTAACGATATTTTGAGAAACAGAAAAACCTTTAAAAGCACGGATTTATGCTGACGATTTAGTGGTATTTACAAAAGGAAAAAATATAGATAGTATGACAAAATGTTTACAAAGCTTTATCAATAAACTGGAAACATAGTCTCTGAATACTGGCTTTGAATTTTCTACTACAAAAACAAGACGCATGGTTCTTGCAAAAACAGCAAATGTAAGTATTGCTTCTTACTTTATACGGGAAGCCAATAACAGTAGATCCTCATATTAAATTTTTAGGAATGCATTTAGATAACAAACTGACATGACGAGAACGTATAAAGTAATTACAATTAACTTGCCATAAGAGAAGAAATATTTTAAAAACATTATCAATCAGGAAAAGGGGTTCCCACCAAAATACAATATTATCAGTATACAAATCGTTAATCAGGTCTAAATTCGATTATGGATGCATCGCTTATTGTTCTGCCAGAACACCTATTGTACCTACCCCACCTATAAGTACACCTATTGAGAGCATATACGCTGAACTTGGTGAGCCATGCCTTTACCACAGGCGAATGCAACTGACATTAACACATTCATCCTCGGTATACTGTAATCCAGAAAAACCTATTTACACAGATAAATATAACGAACTTTTTAATTATAATGACAAACGAAGAAAACCATACTATGAAAGAATTAGAACATATTGTAAGAAATAAAACATTGATTCTCCTAACATATTCGATCCAAACATCGCCGATCCTCATATCCGTTGATCAATCAATATTCCAGTGTAATGTAACCCACCAATCTGCGAGCGCTGCAATTCGACATTAGCAGTAAAACAAATCTTTGAATGTGACAAATTCAAACATCAACAGACTCTTTATAATATAGATTCAAATTTATCAATTGTGTTAGGTCAAAATAGTTATTCAAAAAACTTAATAGATTATTTAAAAGCTAGCGATGTGTTCCATAAGATTTAATTTTTTTGTATAAAATTGTTAAATTTTTACTAGTATTTTGTACGAAAAAAATCTTTTTTGGAACCATGTAATATACCTATACTTGTACAATTGTACAGAATCCGTCGCTAATAACCATTAGGTGGATGCGACTTTGTATTTAAATAAAAAAAAATAATAAATAAAACTCACCACATCTCAAAGACCAAATATTGACACTAGACGGACTACAAAACGTTCAGTTACTAGTAAATGATTTATTTACAACTCTCTTTCTCAACGTTTCGCTGCTAAATTTATGTCTCTCCTTTGGAGGTCATCCTCGACGCGTTGATATATTTATATTGCAACGCTATTATCTAAACACTCTCGTGTCTTAAAGTAGGCATAACGTGGACAAATATTATGTTATTACAAACAAATATACCAATAAAACGAGGCCCTTTACAAATATCTGGTTAATATTTTAATATTAAACAACCGGCGTTGTTGACTGATTGATTATTGATGGTTGAAATTATGATGTTTATTATTTGCATTCATCCTCAATGCCTCAGATTTTCAGAAAAAATGCTCCTATCAAATGCAGCAAGATCAAGTCATAAAACTGAAGAAGTTGAATGCAGTTGTCATCACGAAGGAGGCAGACACCAGGCTGGTTTTTCATGTTTAAAAAATTACACCAGGATCAAAGATATTAATCAAATCAAGAAACATTTTTTGCTTAGAATATATTTTCTATCCATTCTTGAGGTTATTTTTAATATAAAGGTTCCAAAACTACACTGCTCAACAATTGATAAGGATCATAAGTATTATTTCAAATATTTTAAAAGTTTCTTGAAGTCGTAGTATTATATATTGGTTATAGTTAGAATATATATATAATATATATATATAATATATATATATATATATATATATATATATAAATAATCAAAAGCAAAAATAAAATATTTTAACAAGATTACAAGAAACAATTTATTGAAATAAAGTAAAATAAAATTGTGTTCTACAAAATCCAAAATAACGAGATAAAATTTTGATCCAAAGTTGTCCATATGTGCTTTACAGCCTCACTTAACTGCTGAAGCATATTTACATGAGTATCTAACACATTTAGTTGTGTTATAGCGGGCCAGATATTTTCTATGCAGTTCATATCTGGTAACTGGGCTGGCCACTCCATTCTGTCAATACCGTGATCCTGTAATCTTTCGTTTAGAATTCTTGCACGGTGGAGACGGGCATTGTCGTCAATAAGGTCAAAACTTCTCCGACTGCACCCGCAAATGGTACAATAATTGGTTCTACAACCATATATCTGAGCCGTCATCGTAGCATTTGTCAAAACCACTAAGTCGGTGCGGCCATCAAAACAAATACCACCCCAAACGCAAATAGAGCCTCAACAAACGCAGTTATAGGCACCCTTTAATGTTCATTATAACTCTCCTTTTTCCGTTTCTCCATTCTACATTCGTTGATTGTCCAGTTGCATTGTTCTTCAGCACATAGTCTTCTCAATCCGCGATGTTCCGTGGTTAGTACTGGATGAGATAAACGTCTTCTTGCTCTTAAGTCAGTCATATGCATCCTTCTTCTAACGGATTGGTTTAAAACTATTCTTTTAGTGGCGTTACGCAATGTTTTGTTGATGTGAGAAGCAGTATATGTTGGGTTTCGTCTAGCAATAATTTGCATATATCAGTCATTAACAGGGTTGGTACTCCGTTGTCGCCCTCCACCATGAACATATGACACTACACCGTTTATGACATATCATAAGGTGTGATGTGTGACATAATACAAGCTGTATGTATAACACTTTGAGGAAACCCCAAACGTTGAGCCACTTCACGTTGTGTTAACCCTTCGGTGTTCCACCTCACAATCTGTTGCATTTGGAATATCTAAACGTCTCCGAGCCATTTATAACTAATTAATAAAGATACTCCACTATTCAAAACAAGTGAACACAAACTGTGTTAGTATCAAATGAAAATATATGACTTTAATATTCAACTTTTTGCTGACGATAATAAAAAAAAACCTCGATGGCCACAATAACAAAAATGTAATTTGTCATTTACAATTGATAACAAAGTCGGGATATTACTATTATTTTAATTAAATTACATTATTACAAACTATTTTTACAAATTACTACTACAAACTATTTCTGACGTAAAACATTACTTTGATCCTTAGCAATTGTTGAGCACTGTATTAATTCCAACTATTATACAGTTTTTATATTTTACTTTTAATTTTTGTATGAATACATAGTTAATATAAGTTTATTTTTCACTTACCGACTCTGTTCCATAGAAAATTTTGTACTTTTCATGGCTAGCTTCTAAAATAGACTCGGCTTCACTCAGATCATTTGAAACATATTCTATACCGCAAAACGTAGGAATAACAAGTCCGTATGTGTTTAAAAAGTCTACCATATTTACTAAAAAATAGTATTATATATTATTAAATGAGCGAAGACGAAGAAGAGTCTTGGTGGCGCAGTGGTACTGAGCGTAAAAACTCACGAATCATGAGTTGGAATTTTTATTACAATAATATTCTCTCCTTTGTAAATACTGAAATTATCTACTTGCTAACAAGGAATTTACTCAACACAAACACTATAAATTAACCTTATATTATACATACATGCATACATATACTTCATCTAATTTATTTAACGTTCCACGTCATCCGCGTCATAGCCCGTGAGGTAACATAATACCAACCCGAAATATTTAGGCGGTAAGTGTGTTCTTTTTTACAATCACTTTGACGAGTACACTGGTATTACAGACACTAGACATATTTTATTATATACGCGTAGAAATAATATTTAAAGATTTCTTTTAATGTTAACTTAAAGAAATACACAATAATATGTTTCATTTAATTTGTATAAATGCACTATAAAGCGTTTTTATGAAGAACATTTGTTCGGAACACACTGTAACTGTAATCGAACGAAGGTGATATTTTGGCGTAAATTGGTATCACTTATTATATTTTTACCTATGTACCTATCTTTATATTCATTTCACCCATATACCTATGTTTTATCTTTATTTACATTAAATATTAATTTGTTTTGTTGTATAATCCACTTTTGCAATAATTATGTGACCTATTTGATTTAAAATGGATTCAGGATTTTTTTATACTTTGGCAACTATGTCAACTTCGATTTTTGTCAATGGTAATGACGTGCAACGGTAAGTAAATTAGATGGACTATACTTACATACATACATACACACATACACACACACACACACACACACACACACACACACACACACACACACACACACACACACACACACACACACACACACACACACACATACACACACACACACACACACACATATATATATATATATATATATATATATATATATATATATATATATATATATAGAGAGATAATAATAAATATAGAACAAATTAGCATAGTAATATTAAAGAAATAATTTATAAGTTATAGACCAGCGAATATTATAAAAAAATAATTATATGAGGGGTATTTTTAAGAATTTAGCATAAGAATAAGTTTAAAAAGTTTTTTTTATTTTATTTTATGTGCATAGGCAACCAAATATACTGTATTGTGACATATGTGAAATGGGGTTATTTATTAGTTTGGTATGTTTAATTTACATATAATTACGGATGTAGAAGATAGTGTTATGTATTAGTTTATTAGTTTGGGATGTTTAGATGTTTGGGATGTTATATATATATATATATATATATATATAAATATATATATATATATATATATATATATATGAATATTTGATCTGGAAAGCCTAAATGTTCATAAAATTCTCGATATAAGGGTAAAGAGTTTTGGGATTAGACAGTAAGACAATATGGAGTTAGTTAATTAAGAACAGGAGACAGTTCGACAGTGAGTTAATGAATTTATTAAGAAGTTAGTTGATCAGTAAATAGTACAAGCAGATAGTATAAAGTGATTATTAAGAAGAAAAAATAAGATTATAAATAAGAAGCAAAGAAGAATATTTTACCCATTTATAAATGCTATTACGAAGAAAATACTTTAAATAGTTGGAAGCTGATAATTAAAACATTGTAGTATATTTGGAAGAAGCAACTTCACAAAAACAAGGATAATCGAGGCTGATAAGAAGTTATTAAGTGGTGATTATACCTTTTATTTTGGAAAACAGTTTCGTTTAGGCATTCAGTGATAGAAAGGAGGTACCAAATTTTGTTAATAAAATTTTATTATTGTAAGAATTTCAAATTAAGGATAGGTTGTTCTATTAGATATATATATATATATATATATATATATATATAATATATATATATATATATATATATATATATTTACACACATATACACCCTGTGTATATATATATATATATATATATATATATATATATATATATATAAAGTCTTAATGTTTATTATTTACATATATATGCACTGACCTGGCCAGTCAGTTATCTCACATTATTGGCTAACAAACGCAGAAACGAGAGAGAGATAGAATGAGAGAAAGAGAGATATTTACAAATAAAAATTTTAAAAACTTACAATTAATCCCCGACATTTCGGGATTGTGACTATAAAACAAAGGCGTCTTTGGAGCAGCTTCGCTGACGATTTTTAAATAATCGGCTAGAGCTTCGTTGGATGTGGGCCTAAAATATAACTCTGGCATACAAAGAATCGATTCGGCATTATACGATTCTGCATGTTTTGCCAACTCCAATACATCAGGTAACGCACAACCACCTATTTGTACCATAACTTGCATTTTTAACGGCCTTGTAACTTCAATCCATTTTTCTGTCACTAATTTCCTTTCACTAATATTCATCGACGTCCCTTCTCCAGTATAACTATTTACTAAAAATATATGCATTAAAATAAATAAAATAAAGGCATTTTATGCAAGGAACTTTATGGAATTCTTCAGGCATATCTTTATTGCTTAATGGTATATCATTGATCACATCTTAAATTACAGTGGTAAAAAAATTACTTAATTCATTAAATGTTAATTTTGTACTATTTTGTGTTAAATTAATTGACAATAGTTCATGTGCTCTTGTTTATATTGCTGGTGTTGAGTAAGACATGATCATAAACATTGGACTTTGCCACTTTTATTGCTTTCCTATAATTATTTTTCTTATTATATTCCCTTTTTACTACCTCATTTCTTGATATTAAACAGATTTTTCTTTTTTCATTTACTTAATCTCTCATTTTTTGAGAATTTCATCAAACCAACTTATTGTGTTTTACCAATTTTTTACCAAGTGTATATATTGCTATCTCATCTGCATAACTTTTCTGATATAAAAACTTACCATTTTAAAATTGTCACCATTTAACTCAGTAGTAAGGTCACTTGTAAGCCAAGTTTCACTTATGTACACAATATGGTACAAATTGTATTTATTGGTGACTGCATGGATATGGAAAGTTATCAAACAGCCGTGCTTTCTTTTCTGGGAAAGGGGGAGGGGAATGAAACAGAGAAGAAAACTAAATTGACAGAAATACTATCAGAAATACAGAAATCTATTTGTTTTTATTGTATACCAATATGAAGGTATTTGGTATAATTTCATCTCTTTTTGGTTCATACTATTAACTCTTACACACATTAAAATATTGCCGAATCTGTATACGTATTAAACATATTTTAGTAAAAATAGGCGAACATAAGTAAAAAATGAGGATAATTGACGACAAAATTGCTATCGTTCGAAATATATAATTTGGAAGCCTTTGATAACCGCAAACATACGGTATAGACAGTTCATTAATACCAAGTTATCAGTTGACTGATCAGTAAATCAGTCTGGATCTAGTATACTGCTGAAATAATGCAAGTATAATCTGACAGAAGCTGGATCAGCAGTTTTAGGTGATAATCGCAAATTTGAATACTAATGAAGAAAGTCGAGCGCAGAAGAGGACGATAGATGACGAACAGTGTGTCAATTTTGAAACTTACAATGGGCTATATTTCACGAACAAAAGCTGATATCGAAAAATGCTTAAAACCATTTCTAGGATAGTAAGGGGGAACTAAAATGACATGAAAGAGAACTCACTCCTATCAACCCCCAACAACAAAAAAAGTTTAAATTGCAAACCCCTACTTGTGATACATCATTGAGACGACTATAAAAAATGCTATCCAATGGTATAAATAATAATCATACAGGGTGAAGCAATAATTGTGAAACTTTGGCCCTAATGGAAAATTCAATGAGGTTTTTGTTGATTCTGTTGATGATACTGTATAAATATTATTTAATAATTATACAGGGTGTTAATATCAGCCAGCTTACTATGACTTTTTCTATTTGTAATGCTATATCCCGGACTATTATTGTAATGATAAGTGTCCGGCGGAATTTTTTTTGTTAAATAAAAACTTAATATGCCGTTTTTGCAAAACAAGTTGAAAACTTCTGTTTTTTGGGTTTTGTCAGATTCAACAATTTTTGGTTTATTTGAGAATTTTAAATGTCATTAGTTTTCATTATTTGTACGATCGGTACTCTCATTCAGCTGTAGTTGTGACGACGGTTTACAGTATACCTGAACGCGTAGCGATCATTTTCATATTTGACTCTCAGAACTAGTGTTATTTACGAACACTTACATATTTTACTTTACATATTTCATGGAAGGCATCTGGACAAAAATGTAAGTCACATGTACGTCCGCGATTTAGTTGAAAAGTTTAGAGAAACGGGATTAGTGCAAAATAAAAAAAGAGATGCCCCAAGATTCCTGAATGAAGCATTCCAAATTAAGGTCCTTGGAATTTTTGCAATAGCAACACCTCACTGCATCAACACCTCAAGTATCTGCAATGACAGGAGTTTCACATGAGTCGTTTAGAAAGGTGTTAAAATTACATAGTTTCTCAAGAACTAGGCAATGGTGATTGCCAAGTCGAGGAAAGAATTCGCGTGAAACTGAGAATGTTTAAAAATAGTTGTTTTACTGATCAATATACTTTTATTCAGAATGGTAATGTAAATAAACAAAACTGTCGGTATTGGAGTGATGCGAACCTGATCGATTCAGAGAAGGTCACACTCAATATCCTGAAAAACTGAATGTTTGGACAGGAATATTAGGCGATGCTATAATTGGCCCCTTGTTCATACCAGGCAATTTAAGTGGCAACATTTATCTCCATATGCTGCAAAACACCATCGAACTTTTAATTGTGCATTAATTAGAGAACCAAAGGGACGATCAAGGTAACCTAGCTCTAGACGAAGATGTGCTGCCCACCCAACAAGATAGGGCACCTCCTCACTGTGCAGCTCCAGTTAAATACTTGTTGGATACTAATTATCCGAACAAATTGATTGAAAGGAGAGGTCCTGTTGAGTGACCACCGAGGTCACCAGACTTACCACCACCTGACTTTTCTCTATGAGGTTACCTCAGTTGTTTATAGAACTCAACCTGCGTCATTTGGGGAACTGCGAGAATGAATTGCGCACGCATGTCGCGCTATTACTAGAAAAACATTTGCCAAAGTTCGTGCAGAATTTAAAAATAGGCTGTATTATTGTTTACAAAACAACACACTTTGAACATTAACTTAATTGACATTTTTAACAAATTTGTAGTTCAACATTAACCTCATTAAATTTTCCACTTAACAATTATTGCTTCACCCTGTCTAATTATAATTTAGCATTTTTTATAGTCTTTTTAATGATGTATCACAAGTAGGGGTTTGCAATTTAAACTTTTTTGGTAGTGGTGGGTAGGGCCTAGGGGGTTGATGGGGGTGAGTTCTCTTTCATGTTATTTTAGTTCCCCGAACTATTCTAGAAACTGTTTCAAGCATTTTTCCATATCAGCTTTTGTTCGTGAGATATAGCCCATTGTAAGTTTTAAAATTGACACATTGTATATGATAATGATAATAATATTAATAAAATGCTTACCTACTACACCATTAACTCCAAAACTAGATAAATATTCAGCATATTCTGAAATGGGTCCAATATTTACTGATCTAAAAATAAATAGAATCATATTTGCTATATGTCAGAAGATTAAAAGTAAACTGCCAACAATGCATTAGTGAAAACCGGCCCTGATACAGGATTGGACACTCAAAAGAGTACACCCTATATTTAGCAATATTTTAGACATCATTTTTATAAATGTTTTTTAAGCCCTTCTCTCTATTCGGATTGCCGAATATAGGCCTCTCCTAATTCTCGCCATTCATCTTTGTTGTTGAGACGTTTCCACATTGGTCTTGCAGTTCTTTTAATATCGTCGCTCCAGCGCATTTGCGGTCTTCCTCGTGGTCTTTTGGCTTCATATAGTCGCCAATTCCCGATTTCTTTATTCCATCGGCAATCCTTAAGGCGTTCGTTATGTCCAACCTATTTCCATTTCAGTTTAGCTGCCTGTTCGACAGCATCTTTTACTTTTATTCTATTACGAATGTCTTCATTGGTTTTATGGTCTTTGAATGAGATACCCAGCATCTGTCGTTCCATAGCTCTCTGAGTTTTTCTGATCTTGTCTATGTTTATTTTAGTGAATGTCCAGGTTTGAGCTCCATATGTAAGTACAAGTAGAATACAGGAATTAAACACTTTGGTTCGCAGCCTTTAAGGTATATTTTTATTTTTAAGTACATATGAGAGTCTTCCGAATGCGGCCCATCATATTTTTACACGTCTGCTTATTTCGGTAGTCTGATTTTCTTTGCTTACCTTGGCATTTTGACCCATATATGTATATTCATCTACTTGTTCTATCTCTGTCCCTTGGATGTTTATCATAGCTTTGTCATCTTTATTTGACATTAGTTTAGTTTTGTTGAAATTTATTGTCAGTCCTTTTTTTAGGGATTCTGTGTGTAGCTCTTCAATTATCGTATTCGGTGCATTCCACGTGTCGGCTATTAGTACTACATCATCTGCGTATCTAAGATGGTTCAAGTACCTTCCGTTAATAGGGATTCCCTTATTTTCCCAGTCTATTGACTTAAAGATATTCTAAGGCAGATGTAAATAATTTGGGGGATATTGTGTCTCTTTGTCTTATGCCTGGGTTGATTTTTACTGGTCCTGTTTCGATTCCATTACCCAACGTCAGTATCATCAGCTTATTCGTAAATATTATGTATTAAAATTCTGTACCTGGAGTCGATCCGGTTGTTGCCTAATGCTTCCTATATTGCCCACACTTTTACACTATCAAAAGCTTTTTCATAATCTATAGAAGCCAGACATAATGGGAGATTGTATTCGTATTCGTTAATCTTTCCTATTAGGATTTTCAAAGTATATATATGGTCACAGGTGCTGTACCCTTTTCTAAATCCGGCTTGTTCTACAGTTAAATTGGTCGATAATTTTTCAGGTCTGTGGTGTTTCCCTTTTTGTGTATTAGTATATATATATATATATATATATATATATATATATATATATATATATATGTATATATATATATATATATATGTATATATATATATATATATATATATATATATATATATATATTTGAAATATATGAATATATATTTTTTAGTGGATATTCTTGGGCTTAGGTTCATAAAAAACAATCGTTTTGATACTAAGACATTTTCATATATTTTTTCGACGTTTCGGCAGGAAATCCATGCCTTTTTCAAGAAGTAATATTGACTAAAAAGCATTTTATCACAGACATAATACGGTTTAAAAGTTAAACTTTTGACTTACCAAGCATGTAAAATTCGGTGCTGACAAGTATACATAGACGTCAAAATTAAAATAATATTAAAAGCATAGGACAGATCCACTAAGCCACTACATGTAAAATGTATTTTAAATCTAGTATGTTATTTATTGATGTTAGTTTATCGTTTAAACAATCAGTTATTTTAACATCATAGGCGTTCTGAGATTGTCTTTTTATGTGTTTTTAAATTAAATTAAAATATATTTTGTTTAAATTTTTGAAATATTTTTTTATTATTTATTGGGTTTTTATTATTTTTTTATTTGTATACACTCTAGAAGCTTCCTCTTCTTCCTGTTGTGTTCACTTTTTAGGATCTTGGTTTTGTCAAAATCAAATTTGTGGGAACGTATTCTCGAGTTAGGTAGCTGACTGGTTTGTCCAATACAAACTCCATCACAATTCGAGCAGGGAATTTCATATACAACATGCGATTTTTTAATAGAGGAGTTTTTGTTTTTGATCTTGTAAAATTCTTTTTCAAAAGATTGTGCCCTTCATGAGTATCCGTAATGTTGTGTTTAGACAGAAGATTTGCAATTTGTTCCGATAACCCTTTTATATAGGGGAGAGACATATAGTTTTTTTTTACCGTGTTGGTTTCATTGTTGTTATTGTCATTGTAAAATTTATTCACTCGCGATTTGAAAGTGTTGTCGATAAGGTGATGTGGGTATGATTTAAGTATTAGTGCTGTTTTTGCTTTTTTGGTGGCCTTAGGTCTATTGATAGGATCGGATAATCGAATAGGTCTATCTATATCGCTTCTATCGCTATATAGATGACTGCTTGAGTGCAGCACCAGAGGATAAAATGGATATTTTACTAAATGAATTCAATAACTTTCATCAAAAACTAAAATTCACATTAGAAATTGAAAAAAAATGTCAAATTAATTTTCTGGACCTGACCTTACATAGAGAAAACAGCACTATAACTACTTCATGGTACACCAAAAAAACCTGGTCGTCGAGATATCTGAATTTCAACTCTCATCATCCCCTGTCTCAAAAGAAATCAGTAGTTATCGGACTCGCTGATAGAGCTATTAGATTATCCTATCTATAGACTTCAGGCCATCAAAAAAGCAAAAACAGCACTAACACTTAACTCATACCCACACCTCCTTATCGACTTTCACGTCGCGACTGCATAAATTTTACAATGACAATAACAACAATGAAACCAACACAGTAAAGAAAATCTATATGTCTCTCCCCTATATAAAAGGGTTATCGGAACAAATTGCAAATCTTCTGTCTAAACACAACATTACGGATACTCATGAAGGGCACAATCTTTTGAAAAAGAATTTTACAAGATTAAAAACAAAAACCTTTATTAAAAAAATCGCATGTTGTATATGAAATTCTCTGCTCGAATTGTGATACGAGTTTATATTGGAAAAACTAGTCAGCTACTTAACTCGAGAATACGTTCCCACAAATATGACAAAAAAAAACTCAACGGCCCTCACAAAACATGAAAACGAAAAAAAAAAAACATAAATTTGATTTTGACAAAACCAAGATCCTAAAAAGTGAACACAAGAGGAAGAAGAGGGAGCTTCTAGTCTCGAGTCTATACAAATAAAAAAAATAAACGCAATAAATGATAAAAAAGATGTCAAAAATTTAAACAAAATATATTTTAATTTAATTTAAAAACACATAAAAAGACAATCTCAGAACGCATATGATGTTAAAATAACTGATTGTTTAAACGATAAACTAACATCAATAAACAACATACTAGATTTAAAATACATTTTACATGTAGTGACTTAGTGGGTGTGTCCTATGCTTTTAATATTATTTTAATTGTGACGTCTATGTATACTTGTTAGCACCGAATTTTTATATGCTTGGTAATTCAAAAGTTTAACTTTTAAACCGTATTATGTCTGTAGTAAAATGTTTTTTTAGTCAATATTGATAAAGGCATAGGTTTCCTTCCGAAACGTCGAAAAAATATATGAAAATGTCTTGGGGAATATATTATGTGTGGCACATCACTATACAGGTATTTCTCTGGAGAATTCAGATGCCCACGATTTTTTTTAATAACTTTATTCTTGTGAAAAAATATTTGAAAGTATTACACCTTTTAAAAAACTAAACGTAATGCCTAATGTTTACTAGTGTCAATTTCAAATTTTTCCCGTCACGTTAAACTACATTAACACGAAATTTGCAACATTAATAGGAAACTTAATAAATGTAACATAATAAAATGAACTAAGTTTTAAATTAATAAATTCATAAATTAAAACAGTTTACTCATCAGATATAATTATTTAGTTAAATGTTCACAATAATATCCATCAACGTCAATACAATTATAAAAGTGCAGTTCGAAAAAACGAAGAACATTTCGAAACATTTCAGGGCTTACTAGACTACATACATGCAATATTCGTTGTCTTAGTTCTTCCAACGAAACCGCCAAGTTAAACCGCCAAATTCAACGTCTTTCAACGGCTGTAACGAATTTAACGAACTTTCATAAAAAGAGTTATAATTCCAGCAATCAAACTTTTTTGTCGTATATTTACGAAGAAAATTCACAAATAAAACTGCAAACTTTATTATCTTTTAAAGGAGAATTCCGAAAACAATAAAACCTAATGACACACTTCCAGGTAGACATTATGCCTGCCTTTTAGCGAAATTATGGGTCAAATATGAAAAATAACAACTTTTCAAGCAGGTGTCTCAACGGAAAAAACGTGACATTTTAAACTGGTTTTTTATTTTAGAGTATTGGAAGTAAACATGGATATTGAAGCGTTTTTTAAATTATTTAAACACTAAAGATGAAAATAATTTCAAAGCTTAGAGTAGACCATTTCGATCGAATTTAAAAAATAATTATTTAATATCGCTGTTAAATATTACCAACAATTCGAATATCTTAACTTTTTGCAAATTGTTTTCAATGTAGTTTTTGACGTAACGAAAAAGATTTGTCAATAACTCTAGCAAAAAATAGGCGTTAACTACCTAAATATTAATAATTGGAATACTTACGAATCATCACTAAAAATATTAAAAACAGGTACAAATACTCCTTTAGCTGAAAATTTTAACTGAAAAAAAAAATTATAACTACATCGCTTGTTAAAACTTTATACAAAATAAACCTACTTTTTTCTCTGGTCCAAGGTCTTCATCTGGATCTATATAAACTTCAATATATACTGATGCCTAAAAAAGAAGTAAATAGCAGGACTAATGCAAAAAAAATTACATGTTACCATATGAGACATATGTTGTGAGAAAGGATGTAACTGTTACATTTTAACAGATATAATCTATGAAATTTTATTAAACAATTAAAGTTAGTCATTTAAACATTCCTAAGTAACTGATTAACTTTGTTCTTATATCATTCCTATCCATTGTCATAAATCATTAATCATTGCAATTACCAATTTGTTTTATTTATCCGACCTTGTAGACGAACACAATGATCTCAATCTCAATTTTCATTATCAGGCAGCTAATAAAAAAATATAAGAACAATAAAACAAACAGTCATATGGCAGGTATTTTCATTGATCTTGAGGGAGCATATGATAGCAAACGATTGCCAAAAAGTAGGTTTTACGTATCTAGGATCGATATTGCAGAATAATGGAAAAATAGGTAGAGAAGTATGCAGTATAGTTAGGAGTACTGTATGTATTATGTAACAGCAAGATTCCTATGAAACAGAGAGTCATACTGTACGAAATCGCCGTAAGACCCGCTGTGATATACGGTACTGAATGTTGGGAAGTTAAAAAAAATAACAACACAAAAGTATGTAACGCAAATGAAAATGCTTGGATGGAAATTGGGAGTGCCAAAAAAAGAGTGTTAAAAAAATAATAATGAGTATATTTGTCGTATTAAGCGATGTACTAAGCAGTGCACGAAAACTGCTTGTGGCGCAATTTTCGCTTGAAGACCATTATGATGTCATGACATTACACTGGTTCCATCAAAGCACTGGCCAATGAGTTTAGATTTATACCCAAATCTCTGAAGGCAATTTGCCATGAGATTAAACAAAGTTTCTGCACTCCGACTCGAACTAATGTCGAAAACCCCCAAAAATCGTTCTACTAGTTTTCCAAAGAAATTATCGTATATAATAATAATGCTGTATTGTGCTTTCTGGCATGAATATTAACAATATATATTATGAACAAACGTGGAGATCAAATTACAGAAACAATAGAAATAAAGAGAGGGGTTTAGAAGGGAAGCGTACTGTCTCTAATACTCTATAACATATATTCTATTTAATTTGAAGAAAAGCAGTTAGAAAACATAGAATGGCCAAGAAATGAAAAACGAAACTCGAAAGTTCTACAGAAATATAACGTTTAAGCCAAGAATAGGGAGCTGTAAGGATGGCGTTAAAATTGTGATTTTTGAACATTTAGACAACTAATAAACGTGAAGTAAACAATTTGTTTATCTGCATTATAGCAATCAGATCAAACAGAAGAATCCAGCAGACATTTCAGAGCAACCTTTTTGTCAAAATATACATCCCATATGTTATTTTTAAAGTAATGACCACTTTTACACAAACCTCCAAATCATCTGCTGTTTCATCATTATCCTCATCCTCACTTTTGATTTCCCTTTTTATCTTATCTTTTTTCCTTTTCTGTTCCTTAATAGGTTCCTTAAAATAACAATAAATAATAACAAAGTAAAGGTAAATATAACAGAAAGTGGAAGTATGTGAAGCCCATTTTTATGTTATAGTAACGATTTCGCAGCTTTAGAGTTTGAGTATTTATAAGAATAGGGTAACGTCTTCTCATGTATTTAGCAAAGTTACACCAAAATAAAACAAACAAAATAATTAAAGCTACTTACAACTGGAAACCCTAAAACCTGTACAAACCTGTGTGCGCGGTCAGGATCTGTGCAATAATAGCTTAATAATTTTGTTGTTGTTTGTAAATAGAGTTTGAATATTCTCCAGCTGAAAAAATCAGGAACATTTAAAAAACGAATAATAGAGACACCTATTGTTCATCCTTTTTCCTGAATATCTCGGACAATATTATATCAAAGAAAAAAATGCATACAAGTAAAATCATTGACAATGAAATTTACTTCAAAAGTTACTTGTGCTATTAGTAAAATAAATTTCAGTGCGTAAAAATTAAAATTCGCGAAAAAAGTTGTAAAGATAAAGTTTTGGAAATTTTCTTATGGGAAATCAGAAAAATTTTTTTTTCGGAAGTCGGCAAGTTTTTGAAAATTTGGTATATAAATTCGAAGATAATATTGTTTCTTTATTCAAATTTATTTATAGGATCAATTACAATATACTAATAATTATTATCAATGTTGTAAAATAGGCAAACTATTTACCAAAATGAGAATATAGTAATTTATCAAAAAGATTCCAAAGGTACGACTTCCCAAACATCTTTTAAAATCTTTAAAATTACGCTCATGGACAAAAATATCGAATATTTTGGATTTTCTCAATTTTTTGGAGTCACTATTATTTCAAAATAATTTTAGATTACTGATGATACTCATATAGTAGGCTCTTGTACTCAACTGGTTTGAATTATTTTGACGTTTATTTTTACGTTTATTCAAAGTTTAGTGACATTCGTATATTTTATCATAAAAAACCTTCTTTCCTTTTCTCTAAAAACGAAAAATCAGACGAATTTGGTTATTTTTAATTTAATTTTATTAAGTTTAATTAAATATTGTTTTGCTTCAACTAAGTATGCCATTCAAGTATGCCACCTATTCGACACTGTAATGAAGCCCAAGTAGCACTAATTCTAATTTTGTATGGAAGGATAAACACAAAAAGATATCGTACGACGTCTCAGGAGAAGTCAATCTACAGTTTTGAATACTTTAAAAGGTGCCGCGAAACAGGAAATTTTGTACGAAGGCCTGGTCACGGACGCCCAAAGTGCACGACCGCAGTTGTTTACCGTTTTTGTTAGTTAAGTTAATGCATATTCAAAACAGTTAGACAAAGACTAAAAGAAGCAAACTTAAAGCCCAGACGCCCTGCCAAAGTTCCTCATCTTCATCAAATTCATAAAGCTAAGTCGTTTAGAATTTGCAAGAACATATATTCAGTGAACAATCGACAACTGCATACATGTTCTTCCACTGTTAAGACCAGAATCCTATTATGGAAGCCAGATGGTCGAAACTACGTCTACAGAAGAGTTGGAGAACGATTCGCTACCTGAAATCTCGAACAGACCGTTAGTTTTGGAGGTGGTGGCATAATGCCACCAGAGAAGGTATTAGTTGGAAGGTACGCACTGCACTTGTGGAAGTGATTGGACGGATGACTAGTGACTCTTACGTTTAAAACATCCTGCAAGATCATGTTTTGCCGTATGTTGGTTACATTGGATATGACAGATTCAGATTAATGCACGATAATGCTCGACCACATGCCGCTGCCATAGTGACTAATTATCTTGGTGAGGTACAAATTCGAAGATTGGATTGGCCGCCTTTTAGCCCAGATTTAAATCAAATAGAGCACATGTGAGACAAGCTAAAATGCCATATATGACAAAGAAATCCAGTTCCAAATACGATAGAGCAGCTTCGGCTTGCTGTGCAGGATGAATGAAATGCAATTTCCCAAGTATATGTCAAAAATTTACTGGCAAGCATGCCGAGAAAGATGCAAGCAGTAATAAGAGCTAGAGGGGGAATACTGTTACTCATCATGCACTTCTTTCAGTTAAAAAGACTTGTTTACGCAATTTAAATTAACATTTAAGTTTAGAGTAAAATAACCTTATTTACATATCTAATTTTAAGCATTATTTTTTTCAAATTTTTCTCCGCATAAAAAATTAAAATTGTCCAGTAAACACTGTTAAAATAAACTCTTCTTCATAATAAACGAACTCGATTGACCAGAATTTATTTTGAAAAAACAAAAATTATAAATCTCAAAATATTTGATATTTTTGTCCATAAGTGGAAAATGAATTCAAGGCATCATCCTTAATAATTTACCCTTCTAAGGAAACAAGCTCAGACAAAGAAATTGTCTGAAAATTTTAAAACAGACCTGTTAACAAAACTAATCTTTATTATTTTGAAACGAAAAGTTATTTATAGGAGAATTGCATCATCTTGGAAAAGAATAAACATTCTCTGTTTAGATATTAAGTTACAAATGAGAAATACTTATATAAAAATAAAATCATATTTACCCAAATTTCTAAATTCGATCACATAAAAAAATTCTATTATATAGAAGATATTTATATATTATATAGATATTTATGTTACTAAAAGACCAATAATAAACCACATCACTGTTATTTAGTTCCTAGATAATCTTCACTGTTCAAACAAAAAATATAAAATTGATACAGCCTGAAGTATCCAAACGCTTGTGTGACTTGTAGAAAGGTTATAATTTTTACCAACTAGGTACTCTGGGTAGGCTTGGATGTAAGAACGTTGGATCTATCGGCAGCAGAATCTTAATATCCACCATAAAAATCTATAGGATGGGGTGGCCAAGCAAACGGGATATTCCACAAAAGGCACTTATACCAAATAACGGTAATTCTGCGAACTGTTGAGGGTGTCATGTACCGGCAGCCAACTATACATTCTATCCTCAAAACACATCATATCACAAATCCACAACTACTAAGGTAACATCGGACCAATAAACATAGTTCTGACAGCTATTAGTGCTCCCGGTAAGGTTCTTCTGGAAACCAACACAAAACATGCGTCTTTATTGCTGGACTACAAAAAAAGAAGGAATGAAATGACGTTCAGTGGGGCGTCTCTAGCACTCGGATTTCTTCTTCTTCTTCGGATGCAAATCCACTAATGGATGTTAGCGATCACATTTTCCATTAATTCCCTCTATTTCTTGCAATATGTATCAGAGATTGTATGTCGTTAATCCCTGTCCATTGCCTTATGTTTCGGAGCCAGGACATTTACTTGCGTCCCATTCTTCTCTTGCCTTCAATTTACCCTCGATTTAAAGTTGGAGGAACTGGTATTTTTCATTTCGCATGATGTGACCTAGATACCGCCGTACGCCGTTTTCCTTTTCTGATGGTTTTGAAGAGTTGGCGTTCTTGGTTTATTCTTTTAAGGACATCTAATATTGTGATTTTCGCTGTCCATGGTATTTTTTAGGATAACGGCGATAAAGAGCCACATTTCGAAAGCTTCTAATCTGTTTATATCCCTCGTTTTGAGTGTCCAGCCCTCTACGCCCATATAGCAGCACTGAACATACGTAGCACTTAGTAAACCTTAGTCTCAGTTTGAAGATCGAACTCTGAAGAAGTCAGTAACCTTCTTGAATTTTACGAAAGCTTGTCGAGCTTTGCTCAATGCGACATTTTACTTGCCTGTCCGATGCCCAGTCTTCAAAAAGCCACGATCCCAGGTATTTAAATTTACTCACTCTTTCAATGGATTAAGTATCACTGTTATGGTGAAGTTTTCAAGTGCATCCAAGTTTCTCTGGAGATGATCATGAATTTGGTCTTTTTGGTATTAATCTCTAATCCCATTCGCTTACTGTACTCTCCGATTTATAGTGACAAGTTTGTTGAAGATCGACTATGTTGTCACAAATAAAGACACCATCAATCAGCATAATCGTATATGTGTTGATCAATACTCCATTCACCTTGATCCCCATCCTCTGTATCCTCCAAAAACTTCTTGAAATATGGCTTCCGAATAAATGCTAAATAAGAGAGGGGAAAGCACACATCCCTGTCGAACGCCTCTTCTTATATGTATGGGTTTGGATATAGAAATTGGTCTATTTTTAACTGTGCCGTTTGATGCCAATACAAGTTTTCAATGCATCTTATGTCTTTTTGGTCTCTATATCAACTTTCTTGAGAATCTGCATTAACTTCTGGTGTTGGACACGATCAAACGCTTTTTTGGTAATCTAAAAAGCATAGGAACACATCCCTCCTCTGATCGTAACAATTTTGGACCAGCACCTGTTTTGCTACTATTGCTTCTCGTGTTCCTAAACCTTGCCTAAACCCGAAACTGGGAATCACTGATATCCCATTCACATTTTTTGTATAATCTTTGATGTAGTATTTTGGTGAGGTCAAAAACTCGGATTTGGTGAGGCCAAAATCGGAACTACTAGGAACTACAGTTGGATTCTTGAGAGGTAATTTAGATGTTTCCGTACTCGGCGGATAGGTGGCAGGATTAATAATAATATAAATGTTTATTAAGAATTATTTTGAAATGAATTTTTAAAACTTTTGAGACGGTTCCAATGTATTACCCAATAGCTTTGTTCGCGGAGTCAATCCATGACTGGTTTCTGACTGATTCGGATGCGTAGTTGCGTTTTCAGTGGGTGTTCAAAATCCTGGACAGAAAGTTTGATGTTAGCTGAGTTTTTCTAACTTCTTCATGATCAGTTAGAAACCTGTCCATAAGGTTCGTGGATTGGAACTGTAGATTTCTAGTCAGCGCAAGCGCTATGCTTAAAGACACCGTAAATTGTAAAGTTTTTTGTTTGTTGTTGGTTAAACCTAACCAACTAGTTAATTTTCGAAATCACTAACATACTTAGTTTTATTTATATAAACTATAATTTTTTTGTATATGTAATAGAAAACTATAAGATAATGTTTGTTAATGTTGAAAATGTTTGTGTATTTTGGGATTAGAAATAGTAAGAAATGTCCGAAAATCGTTCGCGGAGAATGGAAACATGTAAACTAATAAAAAAACCACGCCAGCGCATGATATTAATTGCTAATTGGTCCGAAACTTGTCGAAACTAGTCAGGGACTATCTACACGAACAAAGCTATGATACAAAGGACCCCCTGTACTTTTCGGTAACGGCACTAATACCACAAGTAAATTTTGAAGTAAATTTAATTTTAATTAATTTTCCATGTATCCATTTTTATCTGAGATATATTTTCCGAGATTTTTCAGGAAGTAAGGTTGAAAATTAGTCCCTCTAACATTAATTTTTTGTTCTAAAATTTTTCAGCTAGAGTATGTTCAAATTGTTGTAATATATAAGATTGTGTTAATCTTCAACACGATCTCGATCAATTGAGTGAGTGGTGTGTGTTGAATGACATGGCCCTGAATGCATCCAAGTGTCATGCCGTTTCCCTTTGGATGATCGAGAGACTCAATAGAATATAATTATAATTTGCAGAACATTCTTGTTGACTAGGTTACTGAAATTCGTGATCTGGTAATTAATTTAAACTCTAAACTTTTATTTGAATCGCATTATATGTCAATAATTTTTAAGTCTTTACAAATGCTTGGCTTGATAAAAAATTCACAATGAGACTTTCAGAATATTGAAGAGATTAAATTACTATATTGTTCTTAGTCAGACCTATCTAGAGTAGTGTTCTTGTGTATGGTCTCCATCTTATAATATTTACATATCAAAAATAAAAACAGGGTATGCCTTTTGAATTAAATCAAGTAAATTTTTTATGTTCCTCTTCACAAGAACCAACTATGCATATAATAATTTTTTTATTTCGAGCACTAAGATGGGCAAATATTCAACCAGACCTATATTTTTTTTGCACCGAAGGCTAAATTCATTTCTGGTCTCAGGCATGTGTTTATTTGAGTGGCTGTGGAATCAAAATGATGATTACCTATTCCACATAAAACTAAATTATGTGATTAAGTTTGTGATACTTATATTTTATTTTGTTTTATTTTATATATTGTTAATCTTATTGGGCAGCAGCAAATTGAAAATAAATAAATAAATTTGTTATTGTCAGACCACCCAAAAATTCACCTTAAATCAAATGTTTTTCCTAACTTTTGGAAGATCACTTATTTGAAACCAATTTATAAGTCTAGGTAACAGAGCTGATAAATGTAACTGTAGATCCATATATCTATAGTGGTATTGCAATAATTGGTAACTATATACCCATATGTCTGCTCTGGTATGGCAATAGGCAATAGTTGACATGTCAATCTAGCCAAATTTATCAGTAGAGTATGTTGAAAGTTTGAAAGACTTACTAAATCCTTGAAATTTTTTAAAGTAAATAACCAGTGTTTTTTTAACTTATTGCATTATATCTGCAACGAAATTTATTAACTGGTATTAGCTAATTGTTTAGTGAATGATTTTCTTCAGAAGTATTAAGTAGACATGTAGTATTTTGCTAACCCAAAAACGAGAATGGACATATCAATCAATGTATAAAAATAAGAAATTAGTTTATTTTACAATAAAACCTAAAAAGAACCTAAAAAAATCCAAAATTTTTTAGTTAAATTAACAAATACTTATTACATTTTTTTATTTTATTTTTATTGAGAATGTCAACTACTTCATAAATTAGATCAGCATGTACTTGAAAGCAGATATGGTGTACAACCAAAAAAAGAAGATAAAATTTTGCACAAAATGAATCCAATGACTGATGTACTGGATTTGGTAAAGCTATTAGGCACTTACGCACTTACAACAAATATAGTACTTTATGAAATACTGCTGTCAACATACAATCTAACCATAAGGTAGTGCAGTTAGATTGTGTGACAATTTTCTTCATGTGACACGAGGGAATTGCAGGTACAGGCTCAGATGAAGTGGCCTCAGGCATTTTTAAATTTATTAAAACCCTTCCTGAAGAAGTGACTAACATTATCACTTACTTTGATAGGTGCAATGGCCAAAATCATAATATTAATATGGCTGCTATGCTCAGTTATGCTTAAAGCCAAAAAAATAATTTATTGATCAACCAGAGATTTCTTATCCTTGGACACACTCATCTTGAATGTGACACTGACCACACTAATGAAAGAGCAAAGAAAACCACTAATATCTTAATTATTGTACCCAGAGACTGGTGCCAGTTTGGCAGAACTGTTAAGGGGAAAACCATTTACTGTGGAAGAAATGGAACTGCAATGTTTTATAAATTGTCTGAGATATACTCAGCCTTTTGACAAAATTCTCTTTAAATGCATTCTGGATATCAGTGAGCCTTTTAGAGTGATGGACTTAAGTAGATTAAAAAGAGGAAGATGTTAGGCTACAAAATTAGAGCTGGAATATCATGGACCATTGCTAATTAACTCCTACCAATTAATAAATTTCGTTGCAATGTAATGTGATAAGTTGAAAAAAACATTGTCAATTCACTTTAAAAATTTCAAGAATTTAGGAATGCTTAACTTTCAAAATGCTCTACTGAAAAATTAGGCTAGACTGACATATCAACTATTGCTATACCTCTACAAAGTTGCTTTCCCAAGCTTAGTTTTTAACTGAATGGAGTGGCTAGACATGATATGTGACATATGACCATATTATGTCTACCCATATTCAGAGATTCTCAACATAAGGTATAGGATTAAGCAGGACTTGATATGTAACTATATATGCATTTCATTCTCATTTTTAAAGGTTTTACCTTTACCACAAACATATCAACCTATCAATTTGAAGAAATATTACTAAATTACATATTAAGCCAATAATCTAATTTTGGTAAAAAATCGGACATATCAAGATTTGTCATACCCATAGATATATGCGATGGAGAAAATGACAAAAAGCAGTCCTTCATCTCTTTTGAATGGGACAGGTTTATCGATCAAGTGACCTTCTCATTGGTCCTTTAGGTCATGTGGTTGATAAACCTGGCAAATTAGAAAGATATGTAGGGACAGCTTTGCATCAGTTTTCTCTGTGACACTGCTGGGGAACAGACCTGCATTGCAAAATTCAGTCTATTTGTATTATATGTCTATGGCCATATCACTACAGATGTAACCATAATGTATTCCAAAGCTTTTTAATGTTATTATTACAAAATGCATGACTTCATTATTTATGAATAATAATTGATCAACAATTTGGTTTTCAAAAGGTAAGTCATCTGAGTTGAATCTTGTCAGGTATCATGCCTCACTGAGAAAATTGGAGTCTTTTAGGAATTACTGATTCACCTTCTATCTTTCATTCAAAGATTCTTTCAAACAGATCCTTGATTGTCAAAGTGAATGTATTTCAATGTTACCAAATAAAAGTCTAATCTGGGGTGTATATATAGGCACCCTTCTTAATGAGTTAAGACACTTAGATTATGTATTAATACATACTTACCTCTATTTTTTCACAAACATGATTATGCTTTGTATTCATTGCTACAATTTGTAAAGCAACTCCTGAGTTAATTAGTTTTATTCTGAAATATGCTGGACATTCTGTTTTTGGACTAAAACAATAAGAATCAATTATTAATCAATAATTAATTATTTAACAAATCCCAGAAAGTTCCTTTTACATTATGACTACTATAATATGATAAAAATATAATTATTTCGAAAAAAAATGTCACGACACTAGAAGATAGGAAAATGAAAAAATCTGATGTTAGAATTCAGTTTTGCCACCTTTTACATTCTTTGTTTCAATTTTTTTAACATAACTAAATCATCTTCATAAAACTTTACTAACATTTTTAAATACTACTCATTTACTATTATTCTTTTTATCATTACAACCTTAAGTGTAAAAAAATAGGAAATTCATTTCTTTCACATAGTTTATATTAATTTTAATATTTCTTTACTTCTTTTACATTTTAGTGTAAACATTATCTTCATCTTTATTTTGCTTGTTTTCCTATTACTAATTTGAAAATATTTTACACAAATTATTGCTTTGTCTATTTATATTTTAAACTTGGTTCAATAATGTTTTTCCTCTACTTGATGTCTTTGTATATATTCTGGTATTAATTCTACAGATTTCTCATTAATTACTTATATCTGCAGTCTTTCCTTTTTCATATATACTTTTTAATTCCTTTCCACCTTCTTTATAAAGGTTCATATTTTGTATGAGTTCAAAAACTCATACAGTTTGTCTGGAGTTGAAAACCACCTATTCAAGAACTTTAATAATGAAAAGGTGTTGTGTGAGGTTAAGAAGTAAAAAATATATAATAGGTATTAAAACAATGGAAACAAAGGTTGTAATTTGTCAAGTAAGGATTGTGATTAGTTAATTGCAAAGAAAATATAATTTTATATTTTACTAATAGGTAAGTAAAGTCCTACATTTTCATTGTTCTCATTTTTCTTTTCCGGGGTTGTTCTTTATATCTATATTTACTTGAACGGCCATATATGCAGATAAGCTTCAATTCTGAATAAACAAAACTTTCTTTGGCGGTTGCAAATTCATCTGTAATTAGCCTAGAATCTTTTGTGGTAAATTTTGTGTTGGTGGCTTCACAATATTCGCTGAGTTTTTCCATTAATTCGTTATAACTTTTAAAACATGATCCGATTTCAAAAGCATCCATACTTTTTTATTAAATTGATATAACACAGATATATTAATACAAAGTGTTTGAATTGAAAGTGTTGAAAAGGTTTTACAAACATAAACAACAAACATAGGTTATGTAATTTCTTCTTCTGTATATTTTACTATTCCTTACTATTCCTATTGTAACTTCAAAGTATTATATAAAAATTAATAATCATGATAATATACCTCAAAGGTGCCATGTTATTAATAAAGAAATAAAACAGCAAGCGTAAATTTTACTTACGCTATTTTTTCCCATTATCTACTGTGTTATTGGCAGTTATTGGAAGTATATAATATGTACAAATAGCTACATTGAATAAAAAATCGGCAAATGGCGCTACTAATAAGAAGAAGATTTTAACCTTTTTTATCTGTCTGTCAGATCCGGATATTTATAAATTTTTAGTTTCTATTAAAGTTGCAATAGTATAATGTTGATTTTTTTATACAAAACAGTAAACAATGTCTATCAATCTGTTTTCTTTCTTTTTAATGTTTAGTGCCGCTATATGTTTGGCGAAAGGAAATGTTCAACCAAAAGACAATAAACCATCTAACAATGCAAATACAGACCAGGCAAAACCTAAAAATCCAGCCGTTTCGTTACAACCTATCTCAGCTTCTTCATCAAGTGTCAAAAAAGATAGTGTGAAGCAAACTCCTGTTAATCAAACTATTTCAACCACTAAAGCAGAAAAGGTCTTAAATGGAAATAATGACGTCCCAGAAAGTAATTCTGCACAAGTTGAATCTGGAGCTGTGCTAAGAGGAGTTTTAGTTTTTGGTGGATTAAGCTTGATATTTTTAATATATGTAGCTGTTAGAACATACAGGTCAGTTACAATTTAAATTATTTTAACGAATTTAAACCTAAAATAACCCATTATGTTTTAATTCAAGTAATAAGCAAATATCTTACATGAATCACTATGAGTCATTTATAGTTCACAAGCATTTATAACCAGTCTTGGTGCTAAGACCCCTTCAATTTTTTTTAATTTAATTATATTTATTCAATATTTTGGTGATCATACAAAATTTAGTATTTAACTAAATACAACACTAGATACTGTTCTTTTTCCTGCACAGTAAACTGACAAACTATTCTGTATTACTAAGCATATATACCTAATACAAGATTGACAAAGATCCTGATAAACTAAATTTTATGTAAAATGTATATTTTACTACAAAACATTCATTTACGCTCCTAACTGCTGATACAAAACCTTTAAATAACTTCAAAGCTATTTGAACAAAATAAAAAAAGCATTTCAAATTAGTGCAAAGTTGTTTGTTTTTTTAAACATAATATATTTACTAATAAATTATGTTACAATAGGGAGAAATTCTATGCTTTATGTGTGGGATGCAAATATAACAAACACAGATTAGAGTATTATGACTAGAAATAAAATCACTTTTAAAAAATTAATTTTTCTACTTTACTATTTTGTATAACACTAGCAGTAAAAAAGCTCATTTTCTGATCATCATGGGCCCTATTTATAGCAGTTCACATAAATTTTTTGATTCTTTATTGCCTGAAATTTCTCTAGTGCTATTAAGATTTTTTCATCAATAAATAAGATGTGTTTGGGAAAGTATGTAGTATTTATATTCATAATTTTACATTTTTTTTTACTTTCTTTTCCATTACTATAATATGATCTAATTTAATAGTATATCCTAACTTATTTGCTTTAAAATATATTATTTCCTGATTTTCTTTTGTAGTCAAGGGAGTGTTGGTCCTCTCAAGTTAATTTTCACTCTTCACACCCAATGGAAATGTTACTATATTGTCCCTATATGTTATTATCATTGATACCGGTCATTACAGATAATATCATCTCTACTTTCAAAATTTTCATCCCTGAAAAAAATTCAGAATGTCATGGTTTACATATTAAAATTCGTGGCTAAATTTTAAAGAAAAAATAATGACCTCTTCAGATTCCCTGGACAGTCACTTAGAGATGGAGTCTGAATTACGATACATTGTTAAGCACATACAAGCTGACATTTTGTCAGATATTTTTCTCAAGATTAGACAAAATTTTCTGTTACCCAAAACTTTTTTGTAGACTCACCATTATTGATGAATATGGTCTTTTGAGAGTAAGAGGTAGATTACAAAAGTCTCAATTGTCTTTTGATGTTAAACATCCATTGCTATTAGCCAAAACTCATCGTCTGACCAATTTAATCATCAAATGGACTCATCAAACACATCTACACCCTGGTTTAAAGGCTATGCATTATTTATTACTTCAGCGCTTTTGGATTCTGTCTCCAAAAAGTGCCATTCTTCACTCTTTGTCAAAGTGCATTTGTTATTTTAGATGCCTACCTAAAACTTACAACTCCTTTATGGCAAACTTGTCAACTATCTGAGTTACTCCATTACATGCTTTCGAGGGTCGTGTGGTGTGCATGCGCTTGTGCATGTGCGTGTGGGTGTGTGCCTGTGGATTTTGCAGGACCATTCTCGTCATTAATGTCCAAATATAGAGGTGCAAAAACATACAAAGGATATGTTTGTGTATTCGTGTGTATGAGCACAAAACTTATTCATCTGAAAGTAACTTAGCTCAGAATCCTTTTTGGTTGCCTTTTGTATATTTGTATCTTGACGCGGTAAGTGCCTAACCATTACCACTGATCAACATACCAATTTTATGGAAGGTAGCAACGAAATCATTAAACTAGCTCAATCTGCTGCTGAGATTCTTTCTATTACCTAGGATTTCAATATGCCCGGCGCCCCTCATTTTAATGGGTTAGCTGAGGTTGTAGGAAACATACCCGTCCTTTGTGTAGAAAGCTTAAAGTGTAATTTTAAACCTTCTACACAAAAGACGGGTATGTTTCCTTAAGGAGTCTGAAGTGTTTTGGGTTGATAAATAGTTTTCCAAAAACATGTTGTTTTTCAGACAAGTGAATTCTCAGAACTGGACAATAATGAATCAGCCAATTTTTGTTCGAGAATTTAAAAGATGTGAAACTAAAGCCATTTTATAATTAGCTAATACATATATTATAATTTATTTATTTATTTATATATGGCATCCACTTACTTACAATTTTTACAAAGTTACATCTTAAAACAATTTATTATTAAAATAACAATCACAAGTTTTAAAAAGTTACACCTTAACAACAATAAATTATTAAAATAACAAACACCTCAGAATAATACAAACATATAAGAATAATACAGATGTACAACCAACTTATTGTAAGATATTTTTTAGTTGTTTTTTAAACAAACTAATTTTGGAGTCAAAAATATCTATTTGTCTTGGCAAGCTATTAGCACTCCGGACCAATCGTGTAGTTGGTTCATTGATACCATAATTAGCGTGGTGAAATGGCACCGAAAAGATTTCTGATTGTCTGTTGCTTCTACTAGGAACTTTAAGACTAACAAGCGATAAGAGTTGAGGACAATCTATAAAAGCATTGATAACTTTGTGTAAGAAACATAAATCTAACAATGTCCTCCTTGACTCAAGTGTTGGTAAGTTAAGACTATCTCTTACCCACTGATAGTTGTATTCCTCTCTCCTGTATCCACTCTTATAGGCTGCTACCCTCAAAAATTTATTCTGGACTCTTTCAATCTGTTGAATGTAACAGTGGTATGATGGGGACCATACAACTGATCCAAACTCAAGAATGGGCCTAACGAGACCACAATAAAGTCTTCTAAATGTAAATAAAGACAGATCCACAGATGTGCTTTGGATAAATCCCAGCACTTTCATCGCTCTGTTTGTTACTTGGTTAATGTGGCTTGAGAATGACAGTTTGGTGTCTAACCAAATTCCCAAATCTAATACTTCATTTTTCGAGGCTAATGGCAAGTTATTTATGTAGTAAACAAATGTAATTGGATTTCTTTGCCTGGAGAATGTCATTTTATGACATTTGTTTATATTGAGTGACATTTTGTTTAAAGTGCACCAATCATAAATCGATTTAAGATCTTCCTGTAATATAACAGCATCATTCCAGGATTGAATTTTTCTAAACAGTTTTACATCGTCAGCAAACATAAGAACACTACAATTTTTGATTTGTTGTACTAAATCAACCAGAAACAAGCAAAACAAAACAGGGCCACAATGGGAGCCTTGTTTCACGCCTGATGGAACTGTTATTTCAATTGAAGTGTCACTTCCCAAGTTAACTGTCTGCGTACGGCCACTAACAAATTCTGTAATCCACTGAAGAAGGGGATCTAAAATACCCAAAGCTCTTAGTTTTTGTAAGAGGACCCCATGGTTTACCCGATCAAATGCTTTGGAAAAGTCAGTATAGATTGAGTCAACCTGGCACCCCTCTTCAAAGCTGTTATATATATATATATATATATATATATATATATATATATATATATATATATACAGACAGCTCGATAGTTTGATATATCGTTCCTTGCACCCGATTTAAAAATCGGCTTTAAAAAACTTTTCTTCCAGAGACTGGGAAAGCTACCAGTACCAAGTGATCTGTTAAAAATAAACAAAACTGGTTTTGTAAGTACACATATACATTTTTTTCAGAAAATAGGCTGGGATTCCATCCAGCCCTGCACATAATCTGTTTTTACAACTTGCAATAGTATCATAGACCTCAGTTGCTGTAAGTAGTATAGAACTCAAACAAATAGAACTGTCGAAATTAAAAAAAGGTAAAGTATCTTTACCTTTAAAGTAATTAAATAAAAGATTTAAAACTAAATAAGGTCATATTCTGAATAATAAAAATAAAATATTTAAATAAGTCTTAAACAGTTCTCCAAACAAGATGTTTAGTTGAAATGTTTAGTATGTTTGTGTTTCTCTAGTTTTAGGTACATATACAGTGTGTCCACAGAGGGATATTATGAGAAATACTTTTATTTTTAGCACAAAATGCTATTCTTGATAAAAAGTTTTGCTTTTTCTAAAACCCCATAAAATGCAAATTTTTCACAATCTACTTTATCTTATATTGAATTTTATGTACACCTCTATAATTTTTTGCACTATGTA